AGGCTTTCAACATGCCAAAAACATAGATGCTTACAACCAAAACATTTGTCTTATCAGATAACGCATGACGACATGGTACTTCCTGCAAAGACGGACCACATTTATGAAAAATTACAAATATTAATCCAATAAACATGAAATTGAAAACAGAAAACCAACATCATAGCTAATCAAAATACAGTAAGATTGGGAATTTTGAAAATTTAACAAACAAAGGTAAAAATTGAGCTGCAAAAAACAATTAAAACTAACCTTGACAACAGATTCTGGACTGATTTTGGGCCAGAAGAGTCAATCGCCATAAACTTGGCATTAATAAATTTTTGAGGCTATTATTATTTTTAACATGCAGCCATAAATCATAAATCGCACAGGAATCACTGATATAGCATCAGAAATCACAATTATAATTCTTGTTAAACTAACATTCTACAAAAGATTGCTCCCCAATTCATAGATTATCCTAGCTATTGATTGGCACCACATTCAGATTCGATCTTCTTTGAATTCATTAGCTCAATTCTTTTCACTCATTTCCTAAAACATTTAAAAATTATATGCTGGATTAAAAAGACGAATGTCACTTAGTGTAATGTAATTACAAGCAAAATCTCAAGACTTACCCTCTGTTTTTGCAGAGTTCCAATACTTAAATACAAGCCACTTCCAATGTTCAATTTCAATTGTTGGCAGGCAAGCACGTTCTGCATCTGTCAAAGATTTTTTTATTAGTAAAATGACCGGCCTTCAATCTTTCTTTTAAATGCCTATAAAGTGCACTGCATTGATCTTTATCACTTTGGAAATGTGTGCGGCCTGTGCGCCTTCACTCGATTCATACTTTGCCCGTAAAAAAAAATCAAGGAAACTGAAATAAAACATATACATTAAAAAAAAAAAAAAAAAAAAAGACTTGTGTCTGACCACCTTCAACAAAAATATCAATTGCAAACTCCAAAAAACAGTTATTACACTAGATAGCATAAGCATTAAGCTGAACTTCCAGTATAACAATGCAGACATAACATCCAAATAAACAAGATCAAAGCAATTACCTTTGCTAGCAATTTAGCAACCATTTTGAGAATCAAGGAGAAAGCTGGTTGGTAACTTGGTATGTATAGGGTGTAGAACCTAACCTACTAACAACAATCTGATTGATGATAGAAGCCAGAGAGTCTCAAGGAAGCTACATGAATTAGAAGGGGCTAATGCTAATCTATAGAGTTGCTTACTATTTTTTTGAGAAGGTTTATAATAAAAATGTCAGGCTTTATTTGCACTAATAACGAATCACTCATCATGAGAACATAATGAATGAATTACACTTGCAGACTTAAACTATAGCTTTAATAAACAATGGATTACAAGATTTGCGGTACTAGTAAACTTGTAGACTTCAAAAAAATAACCGGTTTATTATCAATTACTTACTTTTGCTAAAATCAACATAAGCCATAGACTGTAATTTGCTAAAATCAACTATTTCATGTTTGCACCATTAGTCACTCCAACTATGCAAGTCCAAATAACATTCACCATAAATTATATGGAAGAAAAACAACAATTCGTCTTTGGCCTCCCCACCAAGTAAATACAGAAAAGATTATTAACATTCACCATGAAAAAGCTATTGAGATCGAATAATAATAATAAAAATAATTTGATGATTAAAATTAGTAAATTCTGCCACTCAAAGCATACTGACAGTAGCTTTCCACACACTAGTTCAAACACTAGGCTCTACCTAAGAACTCCACCAAACACCAAACTCTAGAAATAAATTAGTGGCTAAAAGATAGAAATTGAAAAGCAGTGGCTCTATTTTGATATATTTTGAAATTGTAAGACCATATCATCTAATTTAGCATTAGCTGCAGAAATAATTGTAGATTCAGAAACATTAACAACCAGCTAATATTGACTAATTATATGCAGATCAGAACATACTATTACTATTTAATACATGCAGCTAGAAATCGCATTTACAGAAAGCTTTATCGGACGCCCACACAACAGCCACCAATTACTCCACCAATTCGCCACCAAAGCTCGACTCCAACATCAGCAATTCAACCTCCAACAATCAACAGTTCAGCCAATTAGAAAATACAAAATTAAATGAAAATACAATTGCATTCAAAACCGGAATAAAGTCGAGCAAAAATTACAAATAAAATACAATTGAAGTTCAAGAATGCCAAACGAAGAAATTAAGTTGAATTATAACATAATTACACTCATATGAAACTCGATTAAGAATGAAATAGCTCAAATAAAGTAAAGAGTAGAATTTCGAGCAAAAAATTACACATAAAAACCTAATTTCTAAGATCAAGCAAAATCAAATAGGAAATCGAACAAAATTGAACAAAATCGAACACGAAATCGCAAAATCAAACAAAATTGTCGAAAAAAACTTAGCACAAAAAATCTAACACAACTGAACAAATTAAGCCGTAAAAATCGAACAAAAGTGAAAACTAAAGCCGAAAAATCGAACTATAACTGAAGAAATTAAACCGAAAAATTAAAATAGTTAAATAAATTGAACATATACATTTAAACAATCGAAGAAATTGATGATGAAATTGATAAACTTACCAATTTGATGATAGAATTTCCATCCAAAACATGAAAGAGAGAGAAAGAATTGCTTGAAATTTTAGAGAGAGAAGATGCGTGAAGGAGGAAGAAGTGAGTGTATGTCTAATACACGAAATTGATCTCCTCCGTCAGATTAGAATTAATGGTCTAGATCACTTGTTTTTAGTTTTCAATCAGACTTGTTTTCACGTGATCCATTCCCTATATATATATAGATTTATTTTACTATTTAATAATTTTAGACGGAAAAAACACGTAATAATTTAATTAGAGTGTTATTGCCTATTACAAAAGTATAATTTTTTTTAATGTAATTTATTATGCGACTTTATTTATTGTTGTTTTGTATTTTATTCATTGTTGTTAGTTATATGAAAACTAAATTTAATAATATGAATAAATTATAAATATGATATCTTCCGAAAAAAAATTATAAATATGATATTTTATTGATTACATATTAGGTTAAAATTTTTAATGTGAAAAGATATTTATTTTTCTTTTCATTTTTTGAATAATTTAAATCCTAAATCAATATTAGTTGTTTTTTAAAAAATAAAAATAATTAAAACATGCATACTATCTATCTTCTATTTCAATAGAATCACCCACTTCGGTCACACCCATATCTCTTCCATCTAATAAAAGTGGATAAATAAAACATGTTAGCAAAAAAAAAATTATATAAATTTAACAGTTACAGTCTTATAAAATAAATCAATATATTTACCAGAAAGTGAAAAATTGTTGTGAAATTGATCTAAAAATTGTAATTGTACAAAATCAAATCTATGCATTGGAATTTTTTCATCATCCCTAATTGCCCGAACAATAGTATTTTAGAAAATTGAATCATTATTTTGTTGTCACTGACAATGCGTGCAATATTGCTTCTTATTTGTAACGAATGAAAAATATTTAATTGAGTAAACTTTTCTTTCAATTAATTTTGGACGAATTGTACAAAGTTGACTTTAATTGAGGTATGAACGTAATCAAAATTAAGTTAATTTGATGACTTGATTAAGCTACCTAAATCACAAAAAATTTATTCTAATCATATAATTAATTAATATAAACTACAAAGGTTTATAATTTTTTTTTAATAAATATAAACAATTTATAAAGATATAATACCTTCTCATCCAATAGGACCATCAGGCGAGAAAATCATACTTTCATTTTCCAATCATTTTTGCTCGAATCTAATTATCTGATTAAATCAAATCTGCGTGTAAAAACAAAATTCAGTAAACAAAACATAAACATTTAATTGTTAAGTATTCCAATTTAACACAATGTAAGCAATAATCACAAATATACATTTAAACATAGATTTTAAAAATTAAGTTAAGAATTACTCAGCCATTGATGACTAAAACTGACACAAAATTCGCTTGATTTGGTTTTGTATTGATACGAAATTTTGTTGGTGTTGTAGGATGCGTTAATTTATAATGGTATGCATCACAATTTTTAATTTATTTATTATTAAGGAATAATTTTTATTTCTTATCATAAGCACTATCAAGATTTATCTTAGATATATAAATCCTATATCTAAAGATGATTTTTTAAAAATAACTTTTAGTTTTTTAAATAAATTAAATCCTAATAAATCACTATTCGTTGTTCTAACTACGTAGAAAAATTCTTAAATCTCATTCGTCACTTTTTCTTAGGTGGCGAGTGAATTTATTAATTCTAAAATAAAATACAAATCTAATTTTTAATTGGTCGAAATAATACCTTTGCTTATGTGGCGCGCCGAATGCTCTCGAAAAATGCCTACTTTATATATATATATATATATATATATATATTAGATTTTTAAATAAATTAAAATAATTATTATATATTAAAAAAATAAAATAAAATAAAATAGTAATAAAAACATCAAAAATCAAAATACAACATAGGGTATACGATTGGGCTAATTATTTAAACTTTATTATAAGTTAATGAAGTATTATTTGGCATATTTTAGGGAGAAATGTCGTCACATTATAAATCGCAAACCAAATCGCACCAAACCCTAACAAACCGTATTATTACGGTTTGGTTTGGTCCATTTTGAATACTAATATGGTTTGATTTGGTTTGGTACTCAAACCGGACTGTGTTCACCCCTATTGTCAAGTGTCCCTCTAAGTTTTTCCTTTAGTATAATGTAATTGATTGATTATATGGAATATAAATATATAATTTCATATATATAATCAGCCAAATTTATGTAAAACCTCTATTTGTTAAAAGGATTTATTTGTTAAAAGGATTGAATCAATATCCATTAGGCCATTAGCACATCACAATATATTATTGGTGAATACTGTCGCAAGATGGCATGTACTCACATATTTAAATTGAAGTAAGACAAATTTGACATAAAAACTCAATAAAAGTTGTCAAATTTTCTAAAATAGTGATAATAGTTCATAAAGTTTTTCTTATTACACCACCATTACTTGTTAAAATTAGTGATGGTGTGAGTAAATTGAAATAACACAACTATTACTGTCGTAGAGTGTATGAACACACACTTGACGCTCTACGAGGAGATATAGAAACAGCATTTTCAAACAGCTATCACTCCATATACAAGAACCACGGAAGTATAATACACGGATGAACGCCATTTCTAACTGTAATCAAGGGGTTCCAAGACATTGGTTGAGTTCCGAAATTTTTCTATAAAATCACCATCATAAGGGAAGCTTCTTCCTTTCAAAAATGCAGTATACCAATATGCAGAGAATTTGGGGTATCTTCTTAGATCTGGATCTCTATAATCCATATAATACAACCCAAAGGCCCAGTCTTCAAATCCCGCCATATCTAGTGTGTCAATTAATGACCATACAAAGTATCCTCTTACATTTGATCCATTCCTTCAACAATTCAAGACACATCAAACTTGTTTTAGTAAAATAATTCTTCATAATTAATAATTTCTATAATTCACAAGCTAAGTGATTTAGTTATAACTAACATTAATTTAATGCTGAACATAAGAATATCCTCAAAAGTAACACTTGAAAACCAATACCACACCCACAAATTCAAATTTTCTCTCAACTTCTACACCAAATAGTACGTACTACTCCGTACTAGGTACACAAAACAATTTTGGCCTCAATTCCTTAATGTATATATATCTTACGACTATTGTAATGGTTACGTTGATAGGGTAAATTGAATGTACAGGTAATGTGACAATCAATACAGGAGAAATATGTGAATGGGCAGTAGAATTTCAATTTATGATTGTTGGTACTTTTGATAATAGGTAGCTAGGGTTGTGTCGTCGTACCTTGCAGCATTCAGTACACTTCCGATTGAGGCATTTAAGAATTCAACTCTTGGTTTGTCGAACAATGATGAGTTATGATACATCCGATATCCTATCAAATACAGTATCTCATTAGCAATAGACAGCCAGAGAGTATTAATTGGAAACACAACCAAAAGAAAAAAGAATGAGCTTACCACTTTCATGTATATATATAGGAGGATTTCCATATTCCTGTTTGAAAAATTCTAGTACGTGCTCAAGTGCCTAATATTTGATCAAATTGTTAGATCATAAAATTTTTAAATGAGTCAATAGTCATCATAATCGATAATTCGATATCACCTCCATCTCACCTCTTCATTATGACCCCCATCTGCAAGATAGTAAATTTTAATTTAGCAATTACAAACTTCATATATTTTAGCAAGCAATACATAAACTAAAACACGATGCATTATATTGTATGCTAATTTTTTTGCAATAACATATGCTAGGATTTATTTTTTCATAACATGAATTGTCATATGATATGTTCTCAAGCAGGGGCGACAGAAGCCCCTCCCAATCAAAGGAAATTTTTTATAACTCTTTTTGTTCTCATGCAACATGTCAATCATATCCGCCAATTCGTAGAACAGAACATATGATAGTGTTCTTTCATATTTCATGTAAGGGTGAAGAAAGGTTGTACTTACAGTGAGATCCAGCTCCACTATCTGCTGCAACATCTCTTGGTTGAATTAAGAGGATACTAGGATCGTCCTTGACAACTAAAGTACCATAGGAATTCAATGCAATGAAGTCAAATGATTGCTTTACGAGTCTTGATTGATATTTTGTGAAGGAGGGAAGTTGGCTGCCAGCCCGTTCCTTCATTATATCTGGATAATCTCCAAACACCAAGGGATCTAAAATCCTGGCAGGACATTGAGAGAATAAGTAGATAAGAATTGATCCAATCAACAATCTAAGAGTGAGAATGTAATACAGTATATGACCTCATTTTTTTTTTGACACAATCTAAGGCAACCAAACAAATTTAACTCATGTAAACTACTAGCTAGAATATCAAGGAAACACAACAGCATTTAGCCATATCATGTGCACATGGGACTTGGCTTCGATTCACCTTAAAGGATGATGCATCATTATAGCAATTTTAATAATAATTGAATACTCTGTACCTCTTTCAGAGTATATAGAATTTAAGGTAGTTTTAGGAGGCACTAGTGTTCTTAAAAACCAAATATACATAGCTTTTAGAGATTATGCTAGCTTCTAGAGGTGGAGAAGGCAAGAAATAAATTATTTGTTTTAACTATGTAACATTTAGTTGATTACTGGTTCAGTGGCTCTTTAATTAGCTATATCAGCAGCTAATCTCAAACAACACTTGACAACTAACAATTGTTGTAAAAGACAATAGAATGCATTTAGGGCCTTATTTGTGTTAAGGCTTTGCTTGTTTCAGGAAAAATCTGTCAGTTTAGGTACAATTAGTTCAGATGAGTTCAGTTCAGAAGAACAAATACTAGATTGTTCAATCAAGTGTAAGTAATGGCTACCCAAGTTCGATTTATAGCTACAGTAAGTTCAGAAGAGCTCAAGTCAAGGGGTAAAATAGGTTCAAATAAGTTCAAGAAAAAAAAAAATCAGATTGGCAGTGGAAATTAGGCGAATAGAACGCTGGTGATAATAACTCACCAACCAACAAGGAACTTGCTGCTTATATGAGTTGCAAGTATATCTTCTTTTGTGTCTGTTTCAGGAATAAGCCAATTGGCGAAGACGTTTATACCTATATATCCATGTTGTTTTTCCTGCATGCAATGCATTCAAATCATCACACTTGTGCTAACTTAATTAGGAGATGTATCGACTATCCCTTTTCCAAAAACCTCCATCCAGTATTTTGTAGCAGTCAAACTTGTGACCTCAAGATTTCAAGTTTGGATTCTTTTACTACGACAACTTCAAACTTGCATTAATTTGACAAGTACGTACCTGATATTTTTTCCTATACAAATCAACCACAGTTGCATGTGCCAGCAGTGTGTTGTGAACTGCAATATATGGCTCAATTGTGGAGTTGCCTCTGGTACAGGAACCAAATGGAGGAGAGCATCTTTTAGGAGGAATAATCCCTTGATCATAGCCTGTCAATAATGCAATATTGGGCTCATTGAATGTAGTCCAATGTAAAACACGATCCCCAAATTCTCTAAAACACACATCTGCATAAGTTGTGAAGTCTTTTCTGCACCCAGGAGATTACAAAGTTATTAGTGCCAATAATTTTTTTTACTGAAAGTGTTATGCAAGACCAATGGTTGTTATGGGAAAATTCACACTAGAATACTAGATGATGACTAATACTTCTTAGTTCTTACTCCATAAATGGTAGTTTAACCCTGTCAATTATTCCATAAACTCTGTTTCTCTCTACTTTGTTGTCAATATAGCTTTCCCATGTATTTATCTATCTACTTTATAGTCAATTTAGTTTTCTCATGTACTTGGACTACTTTTTCCTTCCCCTTCTTAATTCCTGTTTTTTCACAAATGGGAAAATCATTTAATTTGGGGATGGAGGGAGTAGTAAATACTTCCTCCGTTTATACAATTGCAACAATGTGACTTTCATACAACTTGTTTGTGTATGTATATGTTGTATACTTGGTCCAGGGGCATTTATAGTCTCAAAAGATCAATTTTATTTTATAGTCTTTAGTAGTAGATAATTACATATATTAATGGTCCAAATATTGTGTTGACAAGTAAAAGTCATAGAATTGCAACTTAAAATAAAAATGAAAAATATAATAGAATTGTGGAAACATAGTACTGTATGGAAAGAAATCGATCAGACTAGCTGCAGAAAAATTACACAATTTGCTGATCAAGCCATGATCCATAGTCATCTTCTAGTGCTTGTGGCGTGTCCATATGCAGTAACACCACATGCGGTTGAATTCCTACAAATACAAGTTACAGAAATTCATTATACGGTCAACAAACATAGGGGGAATCATTGAGTTGTGGTCTCTACATCACTCATATTAATATATAGTCAACATTATAATATTTTCACCTTAGCTTTGAATTTGACTTGAACAAAATAAATCCATACATTTCTATAATTTGCTAAATAAAAATTTAGAATTTATTGGTGAAATTCCTCTGTATTACGAGTAATAATCTGTAATACAGAGGATGATATATATTGATGGATTTGTAATAAAATTGCATACTTTACAAAACTTCCTCAATTTTAAAAAGCTCGATTCTCTTGATGTAGACTTGTATATTTACATTTAGATAAGTTTGAAAAAAGTCAGTGGGTGTAAGAAAGATTAATGACACCCCTTTAACTCTAAATTTTCATTTAAAAACATATAGTATGATAAGAATTGTATCACTAACTAGCTAATACTAATAAAATTAAAACGTTCTAATGGAATTTTGTACTTACCATTATTGACGAGTTCATTAATCAGATTGTTGTAATGTTCCACCGCTTTAGGATTGACTGGTCCCCTTCCATCTGAGATTGAAACAAAAGAGAACAATGTTCATTTTATATTCTTTTTCAAAAAATTGAATAAGAAGATGACTAATATAAGAGAACAATGTGCATTTTATATTTTTTTTTCATGTATGTAGTATCTATATTCCACAAAAGAACTTTCGAAATGGTATTCAGATTACGAACCCTTAAATTATAAAAATACCCAACCCTAGTTTACAAAATTGAAACACTTATTAACTTTTTACATTAAACATTGAAATACCGAAAGATTGCATGATTATAGTATAGAATTCCAATAAAAATTAAAAAATAAAAAATTGGCAAAGTTATCATTATGAGTTGATTACTAGAATAAGTGGAGTGGTACTGTACTTGGAATAAGTCTTGACCATGAGATAGAAAGTTTGTATGCAGGTAATCCCATATCCAACATCAGTTTGACATCTTCCTGTTTTTAAAATGAAAAGGTTACATGTACTCTTTCACAGTTAGCCTGGAGGACAATGGAAATCAAAAGAAATTAAATGCTACCTCCGTTACTTTTTAGATACATCACTTTCTAAATAAGGAAGTTTCAATTTAGATGCATCACTTTCCTTTTTAACTAATCAAATCTCTCTATCTCCAAAAGTTGTCTAGGGGTCCGTAAAAACCAATACAATGCAACTAAAAAGAAACGGAGAAAGTTGCTTACCTTGTATTTATGATACTGGTCACACGCTCTCTCCATAAAATAAACATTACCTGCCACACAGATTTACTCATACTATTTAATAATAGGAAAAACTATCAAAATAATATGACCTTTAGCTGGTTTTAAGGCTCAGGGTGCAACAAGGTGATAAAGATTTCCTTGTGCCTCTATAGGCACGCCACAAACAGTTCTCAGATGTTCCTTGAACTTTTGATTGTAAAGTTTAGTCCCAACTATTATTTCACAATTGATGTGGACTTTTTTCATTTCCCTCCCCTAACATGGGTATGGTCTATCTTCCTGAGTGCTTGATATGAAATTCAACACCAGACAACATAAATGACCAAATAGCAGCATGCATTCTATAGTTGGATTACATGAGATTATGAGAATACAAACCAGGATTGTTATAGGTGTCTAAGATGCTCGGTGTCCGGCCATCCTCAAAAGCCGCACCTTCCATCTGCGTGGAACATCCCACAACAATGAAATTATGCACATACAAAGTTAAGTTCTTGCATGATCAACACAACACATATAAAACTATTAAAATCTTAGTAACAAAAATCAATCCTAAACCACCCTTTCAGATGATTTTAACTACCAATTGGGTAAAAATAAGTTAAATAACCATTAGAAATAGAAAATTCATGAAAACCATTATCCGGCCACGGCAACATAAGCCCTAACCTCATACCTAGACCCAAATGACCAAACCCCAAAAGCTAAGACCGCCTATATTCAATATCCGATATTCGATATTTCCTAGCAGAAGACCGCAGCACTACTGCAGGCGAAGATATACGGTTGCATGATACTACACTCAAGATCCAGAAAACCCACAACTCTATACACTACAAATATTGCAACATAACAGTAGCTGATCATACTTCTAGAGTTGTATGAAAGTAAAATGAAACCGACAACAATTCGTAAGTAAAAATTAAACGAAATTACCTGAAAAGCAGAAGACCCGGCCCCGAAAACAAAATTAGGAGGGAAATCATGAATAGTGTAGCCGTACACAGTAGAAAATGGTAATTCTTGAAAGATGAAATAGGTAAATATTACTAATATAGTTGGATTGAAAGGTGAGGTTTTTAATAATCGCACCATTATTTTTTAATTAATGGCTACTATGTTAACTATGGAGTACTTCGTATTACTTATATAACTGGAGAATCTGGGTAGAGTTGACACAATCACAAGATTCATGATGTGCTGGATTAATAATTTATGATGTCTTAATCCGACAAATCGTTAATAATTTAGACTGTGTTTTAAAAGGAAGTCTAGAATTTTCGAATAATACTGACTCGATTGTGTTTATATTCAATTTGATTTTTGTCCATATACTCTTATAATTTATGATTTTGTATTTTGTATTATGTTAACGGGTCCATTAAAATTATATATCTATAATGGCACTCCGTTTCTAACTAAAAATCTCATTTTAATAATTCGCATGTATTACTTAGACCTACATTAATAGTTTAGACATGTATAGTTATGGAAAGGCTAAATACAGAGTATTTATTAGAGTTGTCTAAAATTATATTTTTCAAATGTCAAAATTTTAACTAGAGCATTATTGTAACTAGAGCATTTATAGTTTTAATATTCTGTAATAACAACTGAATATATATATATATATATATATATATATATATATATATATATATATATATATATATATATATATATATATATATATATATATATATATATCTCGCTTATGTTTGTCTCCATAGTAGGAGTAGTTTTTATTTTTTTTATTTTTTTTTCCAACTATTTACATATCCAAACAGAGAAAAACACTTATTTTGTCTAAAACAATCTAATTTTTGTGGGAGTTTGTATAAAAAACTTACTTTGTCTAAAATTAGTCAAAATAAGGCAAACCATCTCTAAAAGACCGATGATTGAGAATATTGATGGAAGTCGTGAGAAGAAAATAGTGAACCTTTACATTCATTTATAAACCCTAAATAATGTTAATGCTTTAAGTGTATTAGTTTGATTGACACCTTTGTTAATACAATACTTTAACCAATAATATACATTACAAAGAAGTTAATATTCAAAAGATATACATTGAGACAATTTCAATAAGCATGTATATTACTATATTAATCTCATGTTCTTCCTCCATTTATTATTACTTAGAACGTTTAGTAAATGACACTATTTATGTTATCCCAATTGACCACCACTATTGATTTATTGGTGGGCAATATATAGCTATGTGAAAATTTATTAGGTTTGGCTCGATTTATATTTTCACAATATCAAATTTTTATATTGTTTTTACTTATTAGATAGATAAAATATTAAAATTATACATTGATAAACGTAAAAGTCAAAACGTTGCAACTAAAAGGGATAGATGTATAAAACACCAACAACTGTATGTGAATCTTGCAAAGTCAAAGCAGTGCATTGCAAATACTATTAACAATAGCATTTTGAAACTCTACAAAAGCAAGAGTAATTTAATTGGCGATTTGATTTCTGACACAAGGACACGTGCAATTCAGTAAGGCATGTATTGGAAATGAAATCACATGGCGCAGATTTTGATTGACCGTCTAGGCGTCTGGTGCACTGTGCACGTCAGTAATGTGGGACGTCAGAACGTGCGCGGTGCACCAAAACAGGGTTTTTTTATACGAGACTATATCCCTGCCTTCCGCAGATTTAACAGTCATTAACAGGATGGTTTCAACGCTAAACAAGACCTTGTTCATTGCGCCGAACATATGAGTATATGACTACTAACACTGCTATACAAATTAAGGACGTGCTCGTATCAATGATCAGTAAAGGTGTAATGGACACGCATTCAGTATTTATTACTGTAAATGGTTCGATAACTGAGCAAAGCAACGTATATCCAAAACTCAATTAGCACAGCGAGCTAGTACTTGTGAGTGTGATGAAAGGCGACCACTGTCCAACAATCAAGAACCTTTGATTTCCTAACAAGACGCCAAGAAGTTAGACAAGCAAGAACTAAGGTTTAGTGGATGTTTTCCTTGGGGATGATACTTCAACTTTTCCATCTTTCCAAACAGGATAGTATGTGTCTAGCTCAAGCTGTTTCAAAATATGCTCAGTCATATCTACATATGATGCATGCCCTTCAATGATATGCGTCACGTCGACCTAGCAGATGTCAGGTATAGAACACGAAGTCAATTAGTGAAAACTAGCAACTGATAAAAAGAGAAATGAATACCCAAGCACCAACATTTTCGATCCCAGGTCCATCCACGGGTTGAATTCCAGCTAACCCTTGAGAAATTAGACTGCACATAGTAATTGTTTGGACCATTGTAAGAAACAAAAGAATTTACACTACCATATACAGTCAGTATGACAGCAATATATAGATTGCATGCACCAGATACTCCTACATAGAGAATCAAACACCTTATAAATCTTGCATGATTATATATAGAGCATAAAGCAAAGCTGTTGCTTAGTCTGGCCCATAAAACAAAGCTCTAATAATACAGAAGGAAGACTTTCAAGGAATATAAGCTGTGCTGACAGCCTGAATTGGCTGGATAAGAGCAGCACTACGAATCTCTCCACCAGCCAAGCACTTCGTAAGATACCTCAAAGAGTCTGCAACTTATCAACACTACCCTTAAAGCATCACAAAATTTTTTTCCTAAGCAAAGAGAACCATGTTGCTAATTAACAATCAATACATAAGAGTACTGCCAAAAATAGGGGGCATCCGAAGGGGTGAAATTCTCCCAAACTATGCCAAAAGAATTAACTTAGTGAGGTTGTTATCCATGGTGCTTTGTCAACGTATGGATATTATGTCAGCCGTGCAGTAATTATCTTTTAGTGAATTTAGCACTAGGTCAGATCCTTCAGCAAAAAAGTGCTTGCCAATTGCCATGCAATAACCACTCAAAGAAGCCATAAAAGCCACACTCTTTATAAATAAAACTACAAAGAGGTAAATAGTCAATACATTGAAAAAATCTGGATCCTGCTTGTAGTAAAGTATGGTTAAGAACTTAAAAAAAGCCTACATACATCATATACACTTTTTTTTTTTTAAGGACCTGATGAGATAGGCTATTGATGTGAATGCAGTATACAATCAAATGCAGAGGTTAAGGCGATTCTAATGCCAAAAAAGGGTACATATTGTGTTGCATGGCTTGGATCTCAATTGCATCAAGCCATAAAGCTTAACACTATTCAACCCTTTCAAAGTAAACACTTAAAGAACATTTTTACCTCTCCAAGTTAATGTTTTGACTTTCCCAAGGTCTCACAAAGTCTACTTCTTCAAAAACAAGTCCAGATACCATTATTCCAACTGCAAGATGCTGCAGATTAATACTAATATAAATATTTTAAATTCAGCAGAAAAAATTGCAAAACTTATGATAATACTAATATTTTCCCTCAGTAGTTGCTATGTGATATCAGTTATCCTTTACATGCCAGAGGGAGATTCTGAGTGATACACAAGCAATAATTCAGAGGAACCTACCCCCTTCTTATGATTTTCACCAATTGCTATGAAGTCAAAGTCTTCAATATTTCCAATTCTTGTGGCCATCTTGCTACCGCAAAGTCCAGCTCCCGCCGCTGGAGTTTTAAAACCGACAAAGTACATAAAGAAGGAAACCTAGAAATATAATATAATATAATATAACAAAAATGCAACCAACCAGATTTCACACTGAGATTTACTCTGCAATGACTAGGGAATTCTCAATAAATAAAATAAAAAAGACTAAGGAATAATGTTAAGGAAGATATGAGAGAAGAAACCGAATATATACCTCCAAAAGATGCAGCTATAGCAATCGAACCACCAACAGATCCAACAGCTGTAGCAGCTGCAGCAAATCCACTTGTACCAATGGCAGGCAAAAGGCTTCCCAATGTTGGAGCCACAGTGCTGAGCCCCTGAGCAATTGCAGGTGCAACTACTCCTGCAATAGCAGAAGAGAAGTTGAGTAGTGAGAACTGGTTCTATTTGAGATTTATGATAGTTTTAACCACTATAGTCTACACTCTATAGACACAAGACATATACCTCCAGATACAGCTAACACTGCTCCTCCAGCCAAAGCAGCTCCACCAATCATGCCACCTTGCTTCCATTTGACCCAAGGATCACTATCATCTCTCTTTTCGACTTCTCCTTTGGTTATATCCATCAACGAGCAAGCTAATATTACCTCCAATGCTTCCTGTGAAAAAAAAAAACAAAAAAAAAACAAAAAAATATTATAAATTTAACAAAAGTAATAGATAGCCCATAAATTGCAATATATGTTAACAATTAAGGATCCACATGAAAGTTCCTTAAAAGACGTATTAAATGATTACAATAACAGGTAAACTAACCACTTTAATCAGATTGAGAAGCATTTTTGTTTTCTTCGTTGGTGCCAAGTAGGCATGCAGAAAGAAGCTCATACAAGTCAGTCACTTTGCGAGGGCAACTAAGTGATTCTGCACTTTCGACAGGTTTTTCATAAGTATGGCTTTTACGCGGCAAAGATTCATCTTCCAACTTTTCACCATAATTAACAATAGTTGCATCACGTGCCTCCATGCTAGATACCATGGTATCAACAAGCTTTGACAGAGCAAGTTCTTTAGCAGCAACCTCTGAAGTTAAGGCTCTTCCGTCACAAAGTAACTTTAAAAACTGTTTATACCACGAAAACCGAGTGACTACCATAGTAATATCATGCTATCTTAAATTAAAAAATGGTCAATGAGAAGCTCACAAAAGCAAAGGGCCATTTTCAGCTTCGATAATAATTTTTCACATATCATATAACATCTTAATCTAAATAACAATGATTTAATACGAACATAAATAAAAGAACTTAATGTGGTTGCCATTGTCCGTATATGATTCATTCTACTGTTTACGGGGAATAAAGAGGAAAAACTGTCATGATAGAAGTTCTTACAAAGCAGCTATATATATATACTTATCATGTATAAAATGTTATATGGAATTTTTCCTCATGACTACAGCTAAAGAACTTAAAGCAGGAAATTAATCAGCAACAGAAAAGAACTCTACTTTTTTCCAGCAACAAAAAAAGAATAATTTTAGGAGATTTTTGAAAAAAAATTTGCTACCAACGAGAATACGCAATTGTATATGACTACCAATGAGAAAAACCCTAAAACATATTAGCTCCACAAAGCAAATGTGTGACCAACAAAATATTTTTTATTTTATGTCTACCTTAAGGGCCGTGTACGGTATAGAGCTGAAAGATGGGAAGCACTATGTACTTAATGCCATTCCCCCTCCCCCAAATTAATGGAGAATTCTGTAGTGTCAACAAAGAGAATAACACTCACTCCAGTCAGCATTCTTTAATGTAGCGTCCTGCTTCACATATATTGTTGAATTCCAGTTCCTAAAAATATTTTCAACAATACCTTTCACTTTTCTTGTTAATTAGCAACCACTTAGTCAATATCTCTTCACTCAAACATTCACTGCCTTAATGGTAGGAAATTCTCTCTCAATCTAGGTTCACAATGTCCTGATCAGAACCCTTTTTCACACCAAATTTACACTTCAAATATTTCAATCTACTTCGACTCAGCCTCACACCTTCAGTGTATAACTCTTGTCTCCATAATTCTGTCTCATCATGAACTCCAGCTCTAAATTCATCAACTGAAACAATATCGCCTGCAAATAAAATATACCATGGAAAATCATCTTACAAATTTGCTAAAACATTCGTGATTACTGAAACACACTACTGCATCTCCTCTAATATTAGTCCTCATCACCACCTAACCTCACATATCCTTGATGGTGTCAGTATATATAGTGGTACACCTCTCTTTATCAATGCCTAGCAAAGTACCACCCCTTAGTACATTGGCATAACTATTCTCAATAGCAAAGTGCAAATTCCCAATCCTTACACATTATAACTCCATAAGTTGTCACTTGATTGCTTCCATACCAAATCGCTCATGCATAAATCCAAATTGTTTCTCCGAAATGGACACCATCACGACTTCTCAAACCATTTAACGCATTACACTCATCATCATTGGAAAGTGATCAACCAGCCATTATAAACGAGCTTAGCATTATGATGTCAGTATTAATAGTGCTGATATAACTAATATTGTAATTCACAAATGCAGAAAAATTAAGAGCTACTAAGCAGCCAAAGAAAAAGTTTTGTCATAATAGAAAGCATCATCATTTTTCGAGTACGAATTCCGACTGCTATTCCACTCAATATCTACTGATCATAGCATAGAAATTAAATCAATTTTTTAAAAAAATAAAATAAAAAAGAGTGTACATACAGAGACGACATGATGACTAATTTGTGAGGAAGTTCCAGCAGTCTCCTTCAAACCATCCCAAGCTTTATCATCAACCTTCATAAACCTTCCAAAGATAGAAAGAAATCAACAACAATCACAAAACACAATCAAAACCCTAAAATGTCAAATTACCAAAATTAGAGAGAGAATTACTTGAAAACAGGAAGGAGCAAGCCGGAATCCTCATGAATCCAAAGATAAGGACGATCAGAGACGGAGGAAGTAGCGGCGCTCATTCCAGCGCCAATAGGCTCGTCGTCGGGACAAGGAAGAGTAGAGGTAAGACGACATTGATGAAGCTGAGATTGATTTAGGGCAAGTGCGAACAATGCAGAAGCTGCGTATTTTTGAGTTGAATCCAGAATTGAGACCTCCATTGTTGGAAATTAGTGCGAAGTTCGAAGGAAGTTAATCAACCGCCATTGAAGAAGCTTGGAAATTGAGTTGAGGTCGGTTTGAGGAAGTTGGAAATGCGCCATTTGTCGTTGCAGTTTAGCGTGGTGTAATTGTGTAAACGGTTTTTGACACGGGTTCAGTTTAAGCGCGGAAGATTGCGCCAAAGCATTACAATGCTGCGTAAGTAGGTATTGTATTATTGAAATCGACAATGTACAAAAAAAATAACCTTGGAACAAGGCAATAATGATTTTAGTCGGTGTTCTTGGATCCAACATAACTAAACGGTTTGGCTTTTGTGCATGCCACATTCGGAAGGTTACTCGTTTTTGGGTTGTCCATGCTCATTGGTTGGCTGTCAGTGCTAATTGTTGTTGATTTCTTTACTTTTAGTTTTAAGTTAGGCTATTATTAGTGTTTTGTTCTTCGTTCTTATCAATAAATAAATAAATAAATAAACGGTATATGTATATGTATTTGAATTAAGAAATACTTGTAGTATATTATTATACATAAGATATACATAAGACTTGTCGATATACATACTATGTGGATAAATAAACTAAGTGATTCTATATTAGTTTCCAATTATTTTTTTTTTAAGTTAGCATCATCTAGTTCAAACGCATAAAATCACATAATTAACTAATTAAGCACAATAGCAATGAAAGTTTACTCAATCCTCCAAGTTGTTGTAAGATAAGTTCAAGTACCTACAAGAAAGTTAGCAAGGGCAAACTTGCAGGAATTGCTTTTGAAAGATGATTGCATAGTTAGGTACATTATAGAATATGTCATAGCTACTTTCGTTCACTAAGGAAGACACGTTGCTGAAACACTTTGGTATAGTACCTAAGAAATTATTCCAAGAAAGATAAAAGGAAACGAAGGTATTCAAGCCTACATAGTTCAACGGGTTTTTTCCCGGAAAAAGAGTTGTTTTCATGCACTAAAATAAGTAGAATTGACAATGTCTCTCCTATCCTTGCCGAACTGCCGGTAGGCTTCCTGAAAACTTGTTTTCCCCAATATTTAACAACATGATGCTCGACAAAGTCCAATACGAATCTCGAATTTCCCCATGCAGACTACAGTACAGAGTCGTCCAAGGGATACATATTATACATTAAACATTATGATCTATTGTTTGCGAAATCTATAATCTGCAGTTTGTTTATTCTTCCCCCAACAATCTGGTATCTCTTCAGAAAAGTTGTTTCTTGATACGGACTTACGGAGTAAGAACTACCAAACTCATCATTCCACAACTTGATGGTAGGATATGCTGCCAAAAAGGTTCGTAGGAAGATCCATTTCCCCCAAGCTAGGCATCAGTTCACTAATGTCTTCAGGTGAAGGACCGGAAAATAGATTTTCTTGGAGATATATTTATCCTGCATTGGTAGACCAATTTAGGAACTGAACTTCAAGATCATTGGAGCTCAATTTGATGTATGAGAGGTTCGGAAAAATTAGTCCACATGGCAACCTTCCCTGAGTTCGTTATTGGATAGATCAAATAAGTCAGCTGAGAAGCAACATCAGAAAAGGCTAACATTTCTAAGGACGACAAATTTACTGAGTAAGGTATTGAACCCCACAAAGAGTTCTCGAACAATTGAAGTTTTTGGTGACAAACTCATGGAAAATGGGATTGAACCTGACACAGAATACTTTCACGGATGATGTCTATAAATGTTTACTGGTAATTTCAAAGGTTGGATGGAATTCTCAAGGCCATACAGGTTCGCCGATGCAAACCAATCTCTAAGAATCTAATTGATGAGGTAGAGCATATAGCCATTAGCATGAGATGAGCTTTATAAAACCTGTAAGCCACAATTTAGCTGAAAAGATTTGCATTTCTGAAGTCTGGTAGAATCTCATCGAAAGAGCCTGAAGCTTGTTAACCAAAAAAAAAAAAAAAAATACGAATACCAATCACAATCAAGAGGGCAATAAAAATATTAAAATACAATCAGCCTCCTCTATAGTTTGCAGCAAATACTTCTGTAGCACACAAAAACTAAACGAGAATAAATTCAAACTAACCAATAACGTAATAGCTCTATAAATTCTCAACAGGAAATTCAAAACCAAGACGGCAGCAACAAAGTCACCAAAAATTCCGTAATGACTAATCAACCAAATACGAGTTTTTATTCGGTCTACTAGCTCCATGGAAAGCAATTCCATCATCCAAAGTGTAATCACTAAGACATGCCATCTCAGTACCTCCTTGGCGGCATGCGATCCATCATTCTTCCTGAAGGGCATTCATAAGACATATGTCCTCGACCACCACAGGTGTGACAGATAACCATAGCTGGACCGCCCATACAATCTCTGCTCATATGTCCCATCTGGCCACAACTCCTGCAGATGATATCACGATAACCCCCTCCTCCTCCCATGGGATACCCTCCACCACCGCCACCTCCAAAACCACCATAACGACCTCCACCACCATGTCCACCACCACCTCCAAAACCACCATAACGACCACCACCACCACTGCCCCGATCATTAAGAACATCAGCTTTTGGGCATTGCCTGGCCACGTGGCCAGCGACATTGCACAAGTTACAAACAGGCTCATCAGAGCAGTCACGAGCAAGGTGTCCTGTCTTCCTGCAATTCTTGCATGCCTTATCATTTGTGCATTCCGCAGCAACATGGCCTTGCTTGAAGCAATTGTTACAGAGTCTCAAGTCACCAGGTGGAAGTTCAGGATTCGGGCATTCTCTGGCACGGTGCCCAGCTTTACCACATGCGTGGCAGATGCCCTCATTTGAGCAGTTGCTGGCCATATGCCCAGGTTCACGACAGTTCCAGCACAGAGATTTTGTGGTACACTCAGCAGCAATATGCCTGCATTTAGATAGGTATCACATCATTAGTCTTCTCAGATCATCTATTCTGCTAATCAGTTTCACAAGTTAGGCATGCAGAAGGAAGCATAAAAAAGCATAGATTCTAACTGAATAAAATAATTCATACCCAGGGAGACCGCAGTTGTTGCAAACAGCAACATTTGTACATTCTCTAGCAAAGTGACCTGGCTGTTTGCAGTTGTTACAGACATTGCTTTGGCTGCAATACATATAACAGAAGTTAGCATCGAATGAAAAGATCCAACTGATAATAAACAGAAACTGCCAAAAATATGCCACGAATAGACTGCTAAGGGGAGAGGCTAGATTCTATTGACTTGTAAGAAATCTGAAAATTTTAAACGATAATTAAACTAACCCAAATATATCAAAAATGAAGCTGTCTGAAAGAAAATGAAGGCTACAGGTTGAATAATACAATTAATAAGATAAATCTAGCAGCTAATAACCCCCAAATATAGGTTCCATCTTAACCATAAGACATAAAACATTATCAGCTTATCACAACATAAATCTTCCATGGCTCCAACATTATGATACTTTAAATCATATACTTCCTCAGTTTCTTTTTAGTTGCAACACTTTCCTATCTTGGAAATTGTTAATTACTTGCAACACTTTCCATTTTTGACATTTCTTTCTCTCTATCTCCCTCCTACCCACATGAGTCCCTCTTATTTTTCTCTCTCTCTCTCTCCTCTTCAAAAATTGCCTAGGGGACCGTGAAAATAAAAGTGTTGCAACTAAAAAAAACAGAGGAAGTATGACAGTTCCTTTTTATTAGTGACCTAGCTTCATTATTCCCAGAACCTAACTTAGCAAAACAACTGTAAACATTTCCAAAATTGACATATATTCTCAACTTTTATCTGTAAAAGTCGGAATAATAATTCCTTGAAAGTGAATAGTTCCTTTACAAACCCATGCTCACACCACTCAATGTTCTTCCTTGACACTTTCTGGACCTGATATCAGAGAGTTGTGCAAACTAGAAAGGAAAAGAAACCCATATATTGTACACCAACCGTAAATAGTTCTCTCTCTCTTACTTAGGAAGGTTCCAAAGCTATATTAAACATTGCCCGATAGGGCTTTAGGGCCTTACTAATATATCCCTAGAAAAATCACGACTCTGCAACTCATCAAAGTAGCCAAGATATCCACTGATAATGAGGCCCAAATATAGCTGAAGAATGAACTGGTGGAGTTTATAAAGAACAAAAAGAACGTAAGAAGGTGACTCTCAACCACTACGGGTGGTAGCACGAAACCAGCACTAGAGAAAAATTGAATGTAAAAGAAATTAGGAATAGAATATAATATTGTTGAAAAGTCAAAGTATGAAGCCACTGTGGATCATCAAAGGCAAGACACAACTTGCTCAGGTTCCACAGAACTCCAGTATACAAACTGTAAATCATCAGCAATAGGTTTCAAGACTCACAATTCACTGATGCTGCTGAACAAATACCAAGTTTTGCCTACAAGTTCAGAGGAGCTTAAACGGACATTTCAAACCCTCAACACTGACACTGAGTAATATAACCAGGAAAAGGATAGTACAAATTTTTAAAACTACACACACACACATCATCTACCATTTATGATAATTTCTGGAAATTATGGTTCCTTTTGGCAATACAGCTTAATGTAATTGCTCTTGGAACTCTGATCAGTTCAATAATCATCTCATCTAGCAACAACTACTTTCCTTTCTTTTCTCCCCCTCCCCTAAATTTATGCAACTTTTATTCTTTTCCAACTACACTAACCCAACAAACAGTTGTAGAGCATTGTTAAAATCAAACCACCTGAAACCCCGACGTGCATCTCTCCTATACGGAGCATCACGAAAAGAAGGGCGTTGAGATCGCATTCTACGATCTCGAGGACTCCTGCTTCGACTACGGCTACGGCTACGGCTTCGGCTCCTGCTGCGTGAACTCATCTTCAAATTCCTCTCTTCAAACGCCAACACTCAACTCCAACCAGCACCTGAAGCTCCCCTGCCAAAAACCATCCCCATCAAATCATCAATCCACTGATTGTCCATAACCAAATTCCAACGCTACATTTAAGTCCCTATCCAACAAAAACCAGCTACAGTACACATAGAGTTCAACAATCCACACCACACCTGGTTAGTTAAAACAAAAACCTCAACAACAACACACCCCAAAAAATTCAAGCGCCACAAGAAAAACTACAGAGTTTAGGAGAACTCCCCCACAACTCTGCTTTTTAGGTTTTTACCATCTTCCTTCCAACCTCATACAGAATAGAACCATTCAACTCACTGCATCTACAGAAGGCTGAGAGTTATCACTAAGAAAAAGGTGAAATAGAAGGATCACAGACTACACCGAAGATTAACAATATACAAGCAACTTAATTTGGACACTCCTCCCTCAGACGTCTGGGTTCTCCACAGATAAAATAATACATCCATCCGCAAATACACCAGAGCCTGACTGAAGCTTAGTGTGACATAAGTCCACAAGAAATACTCGAGTACACCAGATGGCAGATATGCCTTCTATTTCAATTATCATTAAACTTCAAAAACATACAATTAATTTCCAAAACAGTACAATCACAGTGAAATAACATATGGCGTGACCGAATTAAAACACCAACACACAACCTTTTCAACAGAAAATTAGGGAAATGAGAGAGCCAAGCAGTATATTAAATACCATTACCATCATAAACAAAATTTTCAAATCTCACCACTGCTCATACAGTATCATTTAAACTCATTAGTACAAGCTTAGAAAATGTCAAAATTTTCCGGTGGCAGCGAAATGTAGCCAATTAGCCCTGACGACGGGTAGATAATTATAGATAAAATAATGCAGAGAAGCACAAGATAATGCATTAATTCATTGACATAGGCATGAGCTGAAAGAATGAGATTTTGTAGACGACACAAATTTTTAACAACACACACAGAAACCAAATTAGAAGTTGAAAAATTTACCAATAACATTCATTTAAATGGCGAGAAAAAAACTAACGAAAAACAGAATTTCTGCCACAAATTTTGAGATAAATCCTTAAAATTCTTTCAGAATGAATTGCCAATACTATTCATAATCTATTGATTCAAAACCCTAAATCTAACGCCAACCTATGACTAATAATCAAACACAGAAAAAAGGATTAAAAACAAGCAAAAAAGTAATGAAAATACTTGAATCTTCAACAAATATAAACCCTAAATCCAGAAAATTAATGGATCTATGAATTATGAAAAACAAAAACATGAATATAATCAGAGCTTCTAAATATTATTCATCGAATCAGAAATGGAGAGCGAGAGAGTACCAATCGGAAAAAGCTCAGTACATACGCGAGCTTCGAAGCTATGGCGGAAACAAAATTTCGATTGAGGATTTACGAAATCAGAAAAATGGAGAGAAAATGCGTGAGAGAGTCTTTTATCCGAACTCTTAATAACAAAATTTAACGAATTTCCGATTTTAACCTTGAGTTGTCCTTTTTGAGTTTTTGATGGGTTCGATTCGTATTATCTAAACTTTTTTTTTTAAACATATCTAAACTTCTTATTACACTTAATTTGGACCTATTAGTCCCGTAAAAATTACAAGCCCACGATTTGGTAAGGGAAAATAATTTATTGTTATAGTATTCAATGATAAGCTTTTGTAATTATTCACTTCATATTTAATACAGTAATTTAATAAGTGATTCTAATAATACTTAACAATGATTTTTCTATTAATAACGGGTTGTATGAATAACTAAGCTTAATTTTGGTTCGCTTTTACTTGTAGAGTATTAACCAATATTTGAACGGTGTATCATTTAAGCTTAACTCGAGACACCGTCCGAACCTTTGGATTAAATATTAAGGCCCTGTCAGTTCATTTTTTTAAAAAAAATATTAAGTAAAAATAATTTTAGTTCAACAAAAATCAGTAACTCTAAAGAAAAAATATAGAGAATCAGTAAAATTAATTTCAGTTCAGTAAAAACAATTTTAGCTTAGCAAAAATAAGGTAAAGTGAACGGCCCTAATATTGCTTGTACGAAGTAATCATTAACCGATTTAAGCTTAACTCGAGACACCATCCGAACCTAATAACTACAGAGTAATAAGTAAAGTATTTTAGACTAATGGACTAAACCGATCTAATTGATGGGCTAAATATTTTAAGCTTAAATTGTTGGGCTTATACTTCCAATATGATATATGCCCCACCCATCACTCTTTCAGTCTTTCTTCCTCTTTCTCCACTTCCTTTTACCCTGACTAAACCTTCTTCCTCTCTCTCCATTTTCGCAAGCAGCAACAGCAGAAGCAGCTTGAAAAGGTACAAACTCCTGTATGTAGTTATTTTTATTTTCACCTCTTTATATATTTACTTAATTTTTTGATTTAATTTAGTTAATTTCACCTTACGTAGGAAGAAACATAAGCTTAGAGACAAATATGGAGGATGAAATTTTTTATATTATTAATTTTTCAGAAAATTAAGCCTTGATAAGTCGATGGAAATCTCAAGTGGGTTATTCAAAGAAATTTAATTTCTGTAAAAATTAAATCTTGCGAATTTATATAATCGAAACTGAAGGACTATATAATTGATAAATATTACGAGTACATAACTTTTTAATAAATGTACTTATTTATTGAATTGTTTGTGGGTAGGGTATAAAGATGGGGAAGAAGAAGTTTTTTGATAAGAAAAAATCAGCAACCTTTCAACTTCTTTCACGGGATTCTTCTGATCCTATATATGTTGAGGAGCCGGAAAATGACCGGGTTTTTGTTCGTGTCGATAATAATCGGGTTAAAATTAATGGGTTAGATGAGGACAATGATGATGAGGATTACTCGAACGACCCGGAGTCGATTTATGCTGATGCCCCTGAGGATGGGGGTTATGAAGGGTTTAGGAGTTCAGGTACATTACCTGATCATGTAAGGAGGGAGATATTGGAGCTTGGATTCCCTGATGATGGTTATAATTATCTAAATCATTTGAGGGAGATTCGAAATACTGGTGGCGGCTCAGCTTATTATGAAAATCCAAAGGCTGAACTTCATCAACTGCCTAATGATGTTAAGGTGATTCTTGCTATGTCTTTATTAGATGATATTGTTGTCGTATACTTTTGCAATATGGTTTGAAGTGTTCCTTGGTTTGGAATCAATAATCGCGTTTATTATTTAACATGTTTTGAAGAATTGACACATTTCTTAGAATAATAATGACCTATGTTTGTATTATGAAATTTTTGAACAATGTGATAATTACTTATGGAACAATGGAAGGATTGTATGTTTTTAGAATTATTTTGTTAATAATTTCTCTCCTTTACTCCCTTTGTCTTATAAGTAATTTTTGTGGTGTATATATAATCCGTATTTTTTTTTTTTTGTCATTTTAAATGCCAATATGTTAACCTGGAAATTCTTAATTGTAAACAACTACTGCCTCGGTTCCATTTTTATTGTCTTATTTGGAATCTTTATAGATTACAACACAAATGGAATTAACACTCGTGATTTCATCCTCATGTATGGTTTCACAATATCAATTTGTATAATTCTTTGTAATACGTATTTGAAGATACTTATGTTTGAATGCGTACATTGGTAATTGTGCAGATAGTGAAATAGGAGTATTATTTTGGATATGAAGTAGTCATTTTTCTTGTTTTGTCACGGTCTTTTTAACTTATGTTTATTTTTGGGACTTGCTGGTCAATACTTTGGCGTAAGTGCTAATCTTGATTACTATGATCTTAGGCATACGATGCTTCAAGAGTGCGGATAAAGGAAGCAAGTGAAATTACAAGTCCTAAAACATTGTATAATGTCGCAGAGAAAACTGTTACTGTGAAAGTACAAAAAGCTGTAGATCCAGAAATTGCTAATTTACTTGAAGACAATGAATCCGAATTTGGTTCTGATATTGATGAATTGGAGGAGGATTTTGTTGTTCTTGCAAATCATTCAGAGGAAATAGGAGATGTGTATGAAGAGGAGAGTTTGTCTTCTATTAGTAATCCTCACGCTGAAGTTCAAACTGGAGTAGCCTATAACTCCATAGCGGAGGTGGTTCGAAGTGTTAATGAAGATAATAGACCTCAGCGTTTGCTTGACCAACAGTTTGATATTGTAAGATTTTCTCTCTGGAGCTAGTGCTCTTTTAGTATCAACCTATTATGTCTGAGACACAATTCTGACTAAGAGGGTGTTTAGTTCTCAATGTATAACAAAGCTTCTGGCTACAATACTTAATTTTTCATCCATTAAAATTGCTAGTGTGCGAGGCTTGTTTAACTTGTACATCCTCTATATCTTGCTAATAGTATTATCCTTTGTGGTTTTTCGGCAGCTTGAACAACAAGAATATGGGTCAGATAGTGATGATGATTATAAAAATTATGTAGCCGAAGAAGAAGATATATCGCTTGCAGAAAAGCTCAATAGTGTTGTCAAAGATCGTGTGGATGATGATTTAGAATTTGATGGAAATTACACAGCTCCAGCTGAAATACTTCGCCGTTGTGCTGAATATGCTGAGAAATATGAGAATGAGGATGGAAATGATAAAGAAGTGGTAATTGTGGAAGAAAGTAGTGATGAGTCAGAAATTTGGGATTGTGAGACCATTGTCTCTACATACTCGAACCTTGACAATCACCCAGGGAGAATTGGAGCTCCTGGAAGAAATCGAAAGAAAATATTGGCTGAGACATTTTCTGGGGCGCTGAAAAGTGGTTCTGACAAGATTATTACTCTTGGAGGAAAGGCAAAGCTTCCTGTGGATTACTTGCCTCATGGAAAGAAGGAACCTAAAGAGACAGCCAAAGTAGTTGCCAAACCAGAGGTGCCAAAAAGAAAACCACATGGTCAGGAGACCAAGGAGGAGAAAAAAGAAAGAAAGGTACTTGTTTTTGTAGAAAATATATTCACTGTTAGACAGATGTTGATTGTTCTGTACACACCCTAGTCACTAGGTTTCCACATTGATGAAAATCCAATTTAGCATTAAGTGCATTTGCTTATTAAGAATCCTGTCTTAACAGATTTAAGGTAGGTATTATGGCTTATAGCCTCGTAGTGTTCAATCATACTTTACTTTTATTCCCCTACCCTGAAAAAAAAAAGGTATTTGTATTTAAAAGGGCTAAACTGCTAATGCTTATGTGTAGGCTGCTGTAAAGGAGGAAAAGCGAGAGGCTAGACGTTTGAAGAAAGATTTGAAGGAACTGTACCGTGATGAAGCCAAACTTGCTCAGAAAGTTGCTGCTGTTACTGGCCCATCATCCATACATCTTATGTAGGTATGTTATTGGTTACCCGCTCACTTACTCCCAAGCACCTTTCTTTAGCCACTTTTAAATGCTTTATTTTCATAATTATCGTCACCTGCTCTCCTAAAAGAATAAAACTTGATTTTGCCTTTATGATGTAGAGAATTAGCATTTTGAAATTCCCCTAATAAGTTCCTCACATAAAATAATATCAAGAGAAGACATAACTTCTGGACAAAGGCTGTATTAGTTTGAAGAAAGTTCAATTAGCAGCTTTAATGCATTGTCTCCCTAGAATGATTGGACAATCAAGAGGGGTTTTGTACTTCTTGGGATGAACTAGAGCACATTTGGGTTTCCTTGGGATTTGGTAATGTATTGGACTAAATTTTAACCCACCCCTATGGCCTATAGATTTATTGAGCAATAACTGCATATGGGGTTTAGCTGGGATAATACAAGCAATATATGGATCCACGATCTTGCTGTCAAGAATTTTTGGACATAAATTTTTAGACTTTGTCACGGAGTCTCCTGCTTGTTATAAACAAATATGTTTCACATCACTAATTATGGTTATTTGAAGGGTGTTTGCTTGAAAGGTCAATCATACTTGAGATAATTCCCATTGATGACTAATTTTTGGCTTGATATTACCCATCAATCCATCATGCCATTAGAATAAAATCCTCTGACCAAATTATATACTGAACTGATACTTGCAGATGCTTTTTTCATAACACGTGCCGCTTTCTCATTCACTCATGCTACTTTGTGAATTTATTTGTCTTTTACAATTTGGATAGCATATTTACAATATATCCCCACTAATTGCCAGCTGGAAGCCTAAAACAATGTGGTTATCTAACAGTGGCTGTAATATGCTCATCAGGTAACACGACATCCTTGTTCAAAAATGCTTGAGGTATGCAGTTCTCCCTTGTTCCCTTGCCTCAAATGAACGTTTGGAAGAGTATTGCATACATTTTGGTGATACATGTTGGAGTGGAGAAGCTAAATTGTATCTGATTTGCTTCAGAGATTTTGTTAATCTACGTCAAATACTTCAGACTTATGAGATATTGTTGTATGTGAATAGTTTGTTTACACACTTAAATGACCTGATATATGTTCCATTATGGCTTACAAAAAGAATGAAATGTCTTGGTGTTGAATTGTTATACAAGTAGTTTAAGCCTTCATCGAGCTTATAAGCTTAATCAGCCTGCTGAAGACTGGATGCTGCTGTAAGAAAAAGCTGATTTCTAGAATTCAACACTCTGCTCTTGGATTATGTTGAACTAACAAAAATGACTGACCAATGCAACCCTGATCACTTCACCTAAAATTGCATGATTCAGACCTGAACAAAGGGAATATTAGACCATATCTAAAAGTGGCCTATCTTATCATCTATACCATCAAACTTGCTTTCATTTTTATTCGTATAAGCTAATTGACAATAATATGAATCAACTTTACCCTGTACCAACAACTTATACCACTTGCGACGTACAGAGTATGTACTAACTACTCCCTCCGTCCCATAATATAGTTCCTATTTTCTTATTTGGAGACCCAAAATGTTGTTCATGTTTCTATTGTTGGATGGTATGTAAAGACTATTATACCCTCATTTTTTTAACTTTATTCATTGTACTTCTCAAATTACCCTTGAATTTTCTACTTGCCTTGTACTTTTTTTCACTTTCTCTCTCTAACTTTTGTCTATAATTGTACTTTTTACCTTTTTTTATGTACTTCATCCACTTTTGTCTCTTATTTCTTAAATACCGTGAAAAAACACAAAAAGGAATTATATATTGGGATGAAGGGAGTAGCTACATTAATACAAAATCTGTAGAATCTATAGAACAGTACATTAGAATTTGTAGCACTTGGTTACACCTTAGTGTAGGTTGCGAATATTCATACGTGAACATGATTAAGGTAAGGGTTGGATTACAGTGACCGACCAAGAAATTTGTTCATGGAGGCTTAATGGGGTAACTTAGAATGTGGAACTGGGCCTGCATCTCCTCTGTCATAGTAAGGAACAGGATTCCAATACCCATAATCATCTTCTCCTACGATACTCTCCGGCTGTGGCTGATGTTGGACGCTCCCTTTAGTCTGTAACTCTCCTGAAGATGAAGCTGACGATAAAATAGCCCCCTCATCAGAGCGGGAGTAGTCCAGAGATGGTGGAGAGGCTAGCCTGAATAACATGTTTGATGATTTTGGGGGAGGTGGGCGTGACTCGGTTGGCAGTGTAATGGTTATATGCAGGAAGATAAACAACACAATTACGCATGAAATCTGCATTGCTGACCTAAAAATGATGAAGTTTCTCTTTCTTGTTAAGGTTGGGTGGTAGGTGATTTTCTTACACGTAGTTCTTAGGCACCATTTGCATGGTAAGTGTTTGAGCTTTAAATATGAGGGGAGATTGAAGGAGTTGGAGACAAACAGGGGAAATTAGAAGAGGTGTTTGAATTAAATTGATCTTCTTATTGTCATACTTAGCGGATGAAATGTTCATGGTTCTTGCATGTAAGAGGAGATAAGGAAGAAAGAGAGTGACTGATGGGAGTATTTTTGTTTAGTTTGGTTGGAGGAAAAGCTGGCAACAATGCTTCAACGCGTAAAGATGTTGCTCCCTCTGTTTCATTATGCACTACACATACGAATTTCAAGCTGAAATTGTTTGCTAATCTTTCTTACGGAGTAATTCATGTAGTTAGACATCTATTAAAAAGTAAATTAATATGGAGTACATTTAGAACAAAATTTGTGATCAACATAAGAATAGAAAGCTATGATGCAAGTCTCAATAATAAAATGGGCAAAAAAAAATCAAAAAAATTTCCGTTGCCGGGACTTGAACCCGGGTCTCTCGGGTGAGAGCCGAGTATCCTAACCAACTAGACTACAACGGAATTGTTGATATAAGTGTCCTACAAAACATTATATTCTATTTTTATTTCATTGAGCAAAACAAAATCACTTTGTACATTCTATCATTAATTTATTATGCTTCCTCTGTGTTTTTTTTATTTTTAATTATAACATTGAATATATATATATATATCAATAGGCACATACGTAGTAGAAAATTCAATAGATACTCGAATATTATACATTGTACTTTGTTAGTACGAGTATCATTCTATAAAACTTAGCTAACTGCGTAGCTTACCCTTGCTTGAAGATATAACTTAGTCACTTTATGTTCAATCACAATAAAAAACAACAATGGTCCAAAACAATGCAACAAATTCAAGATTTATACAGCAATTACAGCCCATCCACATATACATCGTAGATAATATATGCTTCATCATAATTAGGGACAGATGAAGAAACGGTCCACAAAGTGTCAATTATTTCGCTGGCATTGATTAATCAACGACGAGGACCATTCTAACTACCATAAATTGACTACTTTAATCATGTAATTAACTCAGATTTCTTTTATACTAGTACTAGATGATTGGAAACATGCTAAAATGATAAAGCATGTCCCTCGTTCCACCGAGTATTGCTTTTATTCGGATTTAGTAACGTGATAACTAAATCCAAACAGAATTGTACAGTAGAAAAATAGACACAGTACAACACTTAAATAGCACTCGAGTGCTTCATCAACTACTAATTATGATATTAAGTTGAAAACGTCAATACGACTCAAAAGTAAACTAAATGTGACGAATTATTAGTAAGCCACCAACAGATATGATAAATTGATATCCTGTTAATGACGGTTTAAGTAATCATTGTCATCACATAATCTTCCAAATGGACATGATTACCTACCTGCTAATGATATAATGAAAAGGGTGAATAAAACCAAGTTCAATTATTTAAGTATTAATAACAGATCTTCTAATCACCTCAACTACAGAAAAAAAAAAAAAGCAAGGAAAGCTTTAGTCCTTTGAAAGGAATAAAGTGTAGAGTTGTGCACTTTTTTGAGAAAAAGATGTACAGTAAAATAAAAGAGACCCAAATTCTGTTTACTTTTGAATTAAGTAAACATTTATACGAAGTATGGGTTAATGACTAATGACTGACTCATGACTCAAGCTCTCTTCCTTATTTTCTTATCTTATCTATTGATAGACAAAGGAATCTTACATTCTTACTAAGATATTTAGATGTCTCCATCCACAAAAGTCCAACTCACTATTTTATCCCATAATGTTTCAGAAATTTTGACTCACTTTTTATAAACGATTCGAACTTTTGGGAATGACGAGAGTATATACATAAGGAATTAACGAATAACGACTAATGGAGATGATTAATCCATCAAATAGTAGCTCTTTTCCTTTGGGTTCAGATGGGCCGTGTTTGGTCCAAGGTTCTTTGGAACCCTTCCTAGAAGGTGGCCTTTGGATCTTGCTCCTTGGCCGGTGTTTTGTGTGCCCTTAGGGGCTCTTCGTGTTTTGGAGTTTAAGCCTTGGGCTTTTGTATTCATGTTGGCTGCTTTGCAGCTTCTTTTGGTAATTATATTCTCTATTTACCCAAAAAAAAAAAAAAAAAAAAATATATATATATATATATCAATTTCAAGGCAAATTTGGACATTCAGAACAAAAAATGAGATTTGCAAGTGTTGTGGCTGATTTTGCCTCAAAGATAAGGTCATATAAATATTCGGTAAATACACAGCTGCTGCAATAGAAAGCCTTACTGCATTTAGTGATCTGAAAACCAGCAGCAGAGAACGACCAGCCGGAAATCTGCTTCATGGAACAACAATGTTCTAAATTTGCACGTTTAAGTGACTGGAGAGCAATGTGAGAACAGCTTGATAAACACGAAAACAACGATTTAATCAACATAAGCTTTACGAGCAAATGACAGTCATGCTACCATCTCAACCAAGTTTGCAGTTTGCACGAAGGCACATTAAGTAAAAATGAAAAATCTCCATCAACAATCAACGGAGCATGAACCAAGGCAGTAAACAGATTTAACAAGGATGCACATCCAAACTTGAACAGAAAGAATTAACATTTGAAGCAAGGGGGAAAAAATCACTGTACAAGGGCAACATTAATTTCTGCACACATCATCTAACCTAGATAATTCACACCAAACAGCTAACCTTACAAGAAAAAAAATTAATACTAATACACAATTAACAAAATGCAACTAACTACAGAATTATTTCAGGACTAGTTCTTCTTGGAACCGAAACATTTGAACTTATCTTTCGCTGCTTCTGCCTCCCTTTGGTACTCCTTGAATGAAAACTCCTCCTGCTTTACTGAAGAAGGCACTTTACATTCACTATAGCATTGATTACACAAACTAAAGTGAGCTTTCACCTCCTTAAACCGAGAACCAATAATAGGGTAGCGGCAAACTGCACAGACATAATGGCCATGTCGTACCCGATCACCACTCTCCAGTTTCATCAGAGTGGATAAGATACCAAAACCAAATTCAGGGTCATCAAACATCACAATAAACTCTGTCATAGACACCATAGAAGCATCTGAATCCCCACGAAATTCTAAAATCTCACTAGACCCATGTACAGGAAAGTAGATGGCTCTCAATATCTTCATATATCTGGTAGCATCAGATTTTCTGAGCTGCCCATTACCCTCATTGACAGGCCGATACAGAAGAGCTTCAAATGCAACACGTTTCCGTTTTTCCAATGAACCACCACAAATGGGAGCAATGATTGCATAAAACATACCAATATCCACTCTAGACAGTCCAGAATCATCTAACACAGAAAGAATTCTCTCATTAATGGCTTTAATTGCTTCTTGAAATGTCTCAGGTTTCAAGAAACCAAGCAGCCTGCGAAGAATTCCCTCCAGGGCGTTCTTGCGAATGGATTTCTCTGGGATACCGGTACCAGAGAATGACAAGGGCACATCACTATCACTAATTTCCCTCATCAAAAGATCTACATCACACCTATTCAATCTCGACAATCTCTGAAAAGCCCTGATCTCAAGGGCAGTTGCCAACTCCTGCCTAGAGGTAGTCTTACTACCGAGAGTTTTAAATTTCAAGGGCTCAACAACGGTGAAAGAATTCTCTCCATTAGAACCTCCATTAGCCTTCACCTTCTTCTTATGCAATTGCTTCATATGAGCAATCGCATCATGCACCTCAACCCTGTTTGTCATCTTCAATGCTTCCTTCATCGCTTTCTTAGCCTCATCGGATTCACCAGCACCCAACAGGGAAACCGCCTTATTGAGCTGTGCCCGCCAATGGTTTGGCCACAATGTCAAAACCCTAGTATACATCTCAGAAGCTCTCTGATACCTCCCCATATCCATATAAAGCCCTCCCAAGTTATACAAAGCATCAACATGACCCGGGGTCAAGTCAATCGCTTTCTGAAACTCTACAATAGCTCTCTCATCATCCCCTAACGCGTGCAAGGCCGAAGCCAAATCACAATGTGCATCAGCATAATCAGGTTTCATAAATATAGCCTCTTCCAATGCTTTCACAGCTGCCCTATACTCCCCTACCCCAAACAAAGCACTACCCAAAAGCTTTAAAGCCCTATAATGAGTAGGATACAATATAGCAGCTTCTCTATAATGTTCACAAGCACTTAAAACCATACCTTCCGCCTCGAGGGTGATCCCCAAATTGACATGAATTTGAGGGAGCAAATAAGCCCATTGATTCCCACCAGTTTCAGCTGCTTCCAATGCCAATTGAAACTCCTCCTTTGCCTCCCCGAACTTCCCCAACGCATACGAACAATTCCCGGCTCGAAAATGTGGCCTAACATCAACTGGTTGCAGCTCACAAGCTCTCTTAAAACTCACTAAACCATCCTTAAACAACTGATGTTCATACAATACCCTGCCAATTGCCATATGCCCATCAAATGCTTCCTCCCTCGACCTCGCCCCGTCTGCCTTAGCCCTTAACCCACCCAATTCCTTCACAAATGCAGCATAATCATGCCCTGATTCCACCCAATTCACCCTCTCCGAAACCTCGGAAGACGACGGCCCGAACTCCCTAGACCACCCAGCATCCGAATACATATCCGAATTATCATTCTTCATTTTCCCATCTTTCGCTTGCTTTGTCTTCAACCGCTTTACCAGTATCTCCAAATCATCTACCAATTTCCATGTCTCATCAAAAACAATCCCATGATTCGGCGACGCCGCCCACGCTGCCGTCCTCTGCTTCTTCTGAGGCTCCATTGCTCGATCATCCGCCACCGACGATGTCGAAGCTTCCGCAATCGAATCCTCACCTTCTCCAGCAACCAAATCAAGATTCAATGCTTCAAAATCACGATCAACATCTCCAGCACCATCATCATAAGTTCTTAACAACCCATCAAAAGTTAAACCCTTATCTTCATCAATGAATTCTTTATAAGTCCGAAAAACTTCGTCGAGAATTGCATTAATTTGTTCGTCAGAAAACTTAACCCTAGGGTTTACAGCAACAACTAAAGCCGCCATTTCAGCTCTGTTAAGCCCTCCATCTTTATTCAAATCAAATTGCTGGAAAATCCGCTTAACTTTCTCCAATCTCGACCCTCTTGTCGCCATTGTCGAAAACTAGGGTTTGGGTAAGAGTTCAATTTTGATTTTTCTAGGGTTTCAAAAAAAACCCCAAAAAAATTTTGATTCACAACTAAGGAATCATAAATAGGAGAGAGAAAAGGGGGTAAAAATGGGTGGATAAATTTCTGGGTTTTGCTCATAAAAATGATGGGAAGATGATTTCAGCACTAGATCTGAAATGAAAGGTTTGAAATTTGAGGAGGAGAGAGAAAATTAAAGGTACCCTTTTTCTTTTTATTTTTCTTTTTGTTTTTTTGGGTTTTTTTTTTCTTTCTTTTTCTCTCTCTTTTTGGGTGTGTCTTTTTCTTAGTCTGTGAATTTCTGGTGGAGAAATGATGATGATGATGATGGAGATGGTGGTGGGGGAGTAACAATGGAGGAGAGAGAAGATGATAAAATTGACAATTTTCCCAGGGAAATAAATAAAGGAATTATTTTATTTATCTGAATTTGTTAATTTCTGAAATAATTAAATAATAAATTAAAATATTCAGCAGTATTTTATTGGATTTTGGTGGGTTTAAAAAAAAGTGTATATAAAGTGAGTTAATGTGAAATATGGACTTTTTTTTTCTTTTTTTTTTTTGACGGGTGTGAAATATGGACTTTTAATGTATAATTAGTTGGTTAGTTGGGTTGTTAGTTTGTGGGTGGGTTGAAGAGTTCAAAAGTGGATTAATTACTTCTAGCTGGCTAACAGTTTGGTGTCATGCACCAATTCATATTTATATTGATTGATTGATCTTTTTCCTTAGTATTATTGTTTAAGACTGTAAAGGGATGAGTAAGACATTTATGGTCTATTTAAAATAACAAACTAAACTATGCATTGGTGGATTTTTAGATGATACAGATCGTTGAACTTGAGTTTATCGTTATAGAAAAGCTAATTGAGCCACGGATTGGTTAGCAAATCATGGAGTTCATAAGGGCAATATCGAAGAACCTTCATGCCATTTTATTGGAGGACTTAAGCGGGTGGTTTATCCTCGTGTTGTGCCCAGGGAATGGGATAGGACTTAGTTGGTTATGATAGGCTAGGTATCTTGGTTTTAGTGTTGCTTTTGTTTCTGTCTTTTTTCTTCTTTTGTGTGTTTGCTCTTTGAACTTGTTCAGATTATTGTTATTTTTTTTACGCACAAAAAAAAAAAAGAGGTAACTAGTGTTCAAAGGCTTGATCTTAATACGACTCAAAGTTTTGCAATGAAACAGTTAGAGTTAGCTTAGCGTTACCAAAATTGTTAATGAGTTTTGTCAATATTTGGTAAAAAAAATTGGCAATCGAGTGATTGTGGTTAGGAATGGTGAAGGGATTAAGAAATGATCCTAGTTGAGCTAATGTCAATGCCACTTTCACTTTCACCTTTTAAAAATTTGTTTGTCAAATCCTTTGGTAGCAACTTAAAAATTAGGGAACATATCATAAAATAAATATTCTATTAATTGTCATTGTCTATGCTCTAAATCTATAACAATTAGAAATAGTTTCTTTCAATTGTTCAAGTTAGTTAATTTTGTAATGAGGAAATGAAAATTATATAAGTCCTTATAGTATAACCAACCGAACTCGCCATTTCAAATGATAGAGGAAAACAAATCTTTACAAGAGTTAAACCAAAAAATAAATAAAAAATACACATATTAATGGTGATACAATCTTAATTTTCTATGTAATATGTCGCTTAATTTGCCTCCTAAAAGCAGTGGAGGAAAGAGTTGAGACTAACTCAACACAACAAGACCTTCCACCACATCAATAATTATGATCATATAAGAGATATTCAATTGACGTTTGACAAAGTTTATTCACATTGTTAAGTGTTGCTTGGTGTTTGATCCCAGGAAAAGAACGCTTCTTTAATGTGCTTAAAGAGTACCAAAGCTTCCGCAGTCATTATGCCATATTTAATCAACAAATTTAGCACTTGTAAGTTTGAGGGTACTAAATGGCGATTGCTGATTATAAAACCCAAATTTGAGCAAAAAGATCAATGGAAGTTTAATTTAAAATGAAAACATATTCTCATTGGAGACATATTTTTCATCATATATATATATATATATATTATTTTATTATATATATATATATATATATATATTCAACAAATTTACTGAATTGAAAACTTAGTATGTTTTGACCATTAAAGTTACATGTCACCTATTAATCAAATATAAATGTACTTTTTGTAAATATAATGATAAACTTTTTTGTTTCAGGTGAAAAACTCGATTTTAAATGGTTTATATAGTTTTAACCAATTAAAAAACTCAAATACATAGTAATACCAAATTGTTTGATCATAAGTTAATAATATAAAAATTTAATTAATTGTCTCACATCTGACAATGTACATAATTACTATTTTATACGAAATACAAATTATCTCATAAAATCAATAAATAGGTTATTTACCAATGCAAAAAATCAAAATTGATAATCAAACCCTATCTAATAATTAGCCTTTATAATAATTTTTGGTTTTTCAATTATTGATAACCACATTTTAACTTTCATATTTCCCTCCAAAAAATCTCAACATTTCTCAATGGGTGCTATTCCTTCTTCCCTCTTCTTTCCAACTTCCAAAACCTCCATTGAAGAGAAGCAAGAAGAGAGAGAAAGAACATGATTTTTGACAAACCCAGAAATGAGAAATGCAGTTCAATTCACTATCAATTTCGCCCGCACAAATTTCCCAGATAAAATAGACGTCAAGGCATTAGCCAACCGCTACGCTGCCGCGCTCCAACAATGCTTCCCGCCAAGCCCCACCTCGCAGTCCCTTGCTCGGACCATCCATGCCCACATGATAACTTCTGGGTTCAACCCAAGAGGCCATATTATCGACCGCCTGATTGATATATATTGTAAATGCAAGAATCTCGGGTATGCACACCAAGTGTTCGACAAAATTCCCCAACCAGATATTGTAGCGAGAACCACTATAGTGTCTGCATACTGCAATTTGGGAGACATGAAGGAGGCAAGAAGGATTTTTGATGAAATCCCATTTCATATTCGTGATGTTGTGTGTTATAATGCTGTGATCACAGGGTATAATCATAACAGTGATGGTGTTTCTGCGATTCAATTGTTTGGAGATATGTTGAGGGATGGTGTTAGGCCTGATCATTTTACTTATAGTAGTGTTCTTAGTTCTCTAAGTTTGATTGCAGATGATGCAAGGCAGTATTACCAGCTGCATTGTGCCATGGTGAAGTCTGGAACGGGGTGCTCTACATCGGTGTTGAATGCACTTATATCGCTGTATGTGAAGTGTGCTTCTTCGCCTTTTGTTGCATCTTGTTCATTGTTGGGTGTGGCTCGGGAACTCTTTGATGAGATGCAAGAGAAGGATGAGCTGACATGGACAACAATGATTACTGGGTATGCAAGGAACGATGACCTTGTTTCAGCACGAGAAGTTTTTGATTCAACCGGTGTTAAGGTTGTGGCAGTGTGGAATGCAATGATTTCGGGTTATGTGCATCATAGTTTGTATCCAGAGGCTTTGGACCTTTTTAGAAGGATGAATGTTGAAGGAGTTCAGCACGATGAATATACATATACGAATGTTCTTGGTGCCTGTGCTGATTTTGGTATGTTTTGGCATGGAAAGGAGATACATGCTCGCATTTTGCGGAAGGAAGCTAAAGTAAGACACAGAGTTGAAGTCCAATCTTCTATAAATAATGCACTAGTCACGTTATACTCTAATTGTGGCAGAATTCGTGAAGCTCGGCATATTTTTGAAGAGATGCATGTAAGAGATATAGTATCCTGGAATGCAGTATTGTCAGGCTATGTGACTGCTGGCCAGATTTCAGAAGCTAAAGAATTCTTCAACAAAATGCCAGAGAAGAACCTTTTGACCTGGGCCGTGATGATAGCAGCATATGCACAAAGTGGACTAGGAGAAGAAAGCATTAAGCTACTTAATAAGATGAGAACGGAAGGATTTGAGCCATGTGATTATACGTATGCTGGGGCATTGACGGCCTGTTCAAATCTTGGAGCACTAGATCAAGGGAGGCAGCTTCATGGTCAAGTAATTCGCTTCGGATACGAGTCAAGCCTTTCAGTGGCAAATGCTCTGATAACAATGTATGGAAGATGTGGTGTGGTTGAGGATGCTGACTTAATGTTCTCCACCATGCCTTCTATAGATTCTGTTTCTTGGAATGCCATGATTGCAGCTTTTGGGCAACATGGAGATGGCGGTCAAGCATTGGAACTCTTTGAACAGATGCTTAAAGCTGGGATACTACCTGATCGGATTACATATCTTACTATTATCACTGCATGTACTCACTCTGGGTTGGTCGATGAAGGGAGGCATTATTTTCATTCCATGCATAAATATCATATTTCTGCTGGAGAAGATCATTATGCGAGGATGATTGACTTGTTTTGTCGTTCAGGAAAGTTCCAGGAAGCTGAGGAACTGATCAATATAATGCCTTTTGAGCCAAAAGCACCTATCTGGGAAGCTCTGCTTGCTGGATGCCGGATTCATGGGAACTTAGACCTTGGTATAAAAGCTGCTGAAAAACTATTGGACTTAATTCCACAACATGATGGTACCTACATACTGTTATCAAATATGTATGCTGCAGCTGGCCAGTGGGTTGATGTGGCAAGGGTGAGGATGTTGATGAGAGAACAAGGAGTGAAAAAAGAGCCTGCTTGTAGTTGGATAGATGTCGAAAATAAGGTTAATGTATTTTTGGTGGATGATACTTCACACCCAGACGTACAAGAAGTGTACGACTATCTTGAGCAACTGGGACCGAAATTAAGGGACCTGGGATATGTTCCTGACACTAAGTATGTGTTGCATGATATGGAGACAGAGCAGAAAGAGCACAGTTTGTCTACTCACAGTGAAAAACTTGCAGTTGCTTTTGGGCTCTTAAAGCTTCCTGTAGGAGCCACAGTTAGGGTGTTTAAGAACCTCAGGATATGTGGGGACTGCCACAATGCAATCAAGTACATATCGAAAATAGTACAGAGAGTAATAGTTGTGAGAGATGTCAAGAGATTTCATCATTTTAAAAATGGCAAATGCTCTAGTGGTGATTACTGGTAAAGTAGTTTCTGTGAGATTCAGCTATAGCCGCAAGAAGGAATGAATTTGAATGTGGTGGAAGCTCAGCAATATTAAGAAGAAACTCCCCATGGTGGTAACATGCGACAATTCTGTGTTGTGGCTCTGTTTTAACTTTTGCAGTGTTACTTGTATAATTAGATGTATATCAAAGCTTACAACACAGGGATCTTTTTCAAATTAATGGGGGAATACTCAAACTTACAAATTGGATACAATTAATGCAGCCTGGTCCTGGCCATACATAGGCTTTGTGAAGGTATGCTGCTTCTATTTACTGTAACAGTATAGTCTTGCATCACTTGTTAGTGTCGGCAAGCTCATGATTAGGTAGGGATGTTTCAACAAACCCTCCTGAGCAGTATGATACTGATATTGTTGGATTGTTTTCAAACATAACTTCATGGTCACTGCGCTACACCAAAAAGCAGATTACTTTTGTCCACTGTCATACAAGATAAGCTGAATTTGATCAAGGCATTTTCAGGTTAAATTGCGCCTGAGATTAATTTTTTCCATTGTTGCTCTTTTTTAAAGTGAATTTTATAATATTTTAGTGCTTTACATTGTCCACTTCAAGAAAAATCTGGAGAAGGTTGGCACTGTATGTCTTATAGACACCCTTGTACATACCTTTTTGGCAGTTAGGGATCATATTGAGCAGTTTTTATGTCATTTGACAAATCAAGAGACTGTAGCAGCTGTATCAGTTATTGATGTTCAGAATAACACAATTTATAAGACATCGGAACTTCTGATATGATCAAAATATAAATTTCTTTTCTCTTGGAGAAGTTTTTGGAAAACTCTAGTCCACTTTAGAGGATTCCTGTTATTCAAGAGAAGCTAAAGAGGGTTTTTATGTATCGTGTCAATAACCTCGACAAGGACAAGCGGAAGGCATTTTGCACTCTAGGGTCTTCTCTTTGTAGTTATAGCGCTCATCGCGCCATTCTTGATCCAGATATCTCTTTACAAATAAATTAATTCAGAATTTATTTGGATGGAGTGGATAATGAGGATGATGCTTAAAACCTTGCTTCTTATAATTTCTTGATGTAGATATTTTATATCTATGTACAGGGCAAGAGACCCACTTCTTCACATGTTAAAATTTAACCATACTATAAATACACTTATCATCTTTTCGATTCCTCTGTGCTGCGTGTAGGTTTTGCTGCAGGATTTCACGAGTTTCAAGGTCACCACCATGTCACGTGCTGACTAAACCAGCTCTTATCTGAATCTTCTTCCAAAATAGGGATTTCCGTATATCTTTGAACATTCTAAGTAAGTATTTTTATCCAGATGTTTGGATTGTTGATCCCGGAATTGAAAGTCTTTCAGAATAAAAGTAGTGGCAATATCCTGTGTTGGCACTGTGCAAAATTTACTGCTTTGGCTTTGTGGGTTTTCTGTTATTATATTCTTCTTAATACTTGGCAACTCAGTCTCGTCGATCATCTAACAGGGACTTAATTGATTCTGTAGACATGATGATAAATGAGGAATTGAAAGCTCTGAGAGAGGACTAGTATACATACTGACATACTGTAGTGAGGTTCTTGGACGTAAAGCTATTAGCAAATCCTTTGGACCAAGAATAGATGTTTTCTTTATTTCATTTCTCAGAAGGTAAAATCAGATGAAATTTTCAGCATTATTCATCAGTCGACACTTTTGTAATTTGTATGCAGAATTTTGGTTTCTGATGGAAAAGTCATGTCACAAGAATTCTGGAGATTGCATTGCTGAGAAGTGAGGACATCATCTTAACATAATCAATCTCAAGGTGCATTCCTATCTTGCAAAAGTTTTTTTTTTTTAATTTTTTTAATTTTTTTTTATCAGAAAGTAAAACTGTTTTACTGAACTTTAAATCTTTCGTAGTCTCATTGGACAATAGATAAAGTATTAGTCTGAGAATCTAAGGTGCAATCTGAACTGGTAAAAGTTTTAATTTCACAAATTAAACTGTTTGACAGAGCAAGAAACTCTGAAGTAATCTCATTAGATCTTTTAAAGAATTCCATAGAGTGCTTGACTGTCAAAGTTTGAACATTCAGTAGGACTATCTTAATAAATAAGTAGTCTTCAACTCTTCATGTTATGTAATCCACAGTCTATTAGAGTTATTTACAGCTGTTGGAACATTCTGGATTATCAAAACTTATGTGGTAGAACAGTCCTTTGGAAATAATCCCTCTGTACCATATTTTATTGCACACTTGATTTGGTTGTCTCTGCACTTTTCTTTTTCAGTCTCCATTCCGTTAAAGTTCGGAAAGAAAAATGAAACGAGGGAATATTAATATAAATCAGTAGACGACTAGACAACATATTGTTTGACGATGCTTGTGTAGAATATTAAGTAGCCTAAAATATACAGTATGTATTGCTCAGGGCAAACTTTAGAATCACATCTACATAAAGGGTCTATCATTTTCTATTCCAAATCATATATTAGAAAAAACATGTGGGTAAACAACTTTGATTCCTGAACTAAATAAATGATTCTCTTAAAGCTATACCCCATTGATATTTGATTGTAATCTGATTTGCCACTAAGAAATTTGATTAAAAAAGTCCAACTTTATGCAATTCTAAGGATCATTGACCATATGTTATTTGCATTTTTTTTATTAAGCTATAATTGGCATTATCTTGCACAATCATGTTTATATATTCTTTGCTCACTACTGGAATTCCCCTATATATAGGAGTTCTTTGTATAGCCCTTTGGCATCACATTCTCCTCTTAATTAGCTCTTGTAAGTCAAAGACGATTAGCAAAAAATATGGCATGGGGGAAAATCCAAAAAGCTCTAAAATGGGTGGTGAAATCAAAGAAGAATCCTCTAAGTGAAGAGCAGTTGAGGAATACTTTCATGGCTCATGACAAGAATGGTGATGGCCACCTTGATAAGGAAGAGTTAAAGGAGGCATTTCGTGCGCTAGGAGCTCGTATACCTTGTTACAGGGCTGGTCGCGCTATATATTACTCAGATATAGATTTGGATGGAACTATCAATGAGGATGAGATAGACCACCTTGTTTCTTATGCTACCCATTATGGTTATAGTTTTAATTAGCTTTACTTTTACACCCCATATATAGATTAATACGTACTAATATCAGCAAATTTTTCCTCTTTCATTACCATGATAAAAGATTAGATTGTGACAAGCTGTATTTTTCCAGTGTAAGAGGTTGTAGGAAGGCTTTTATCTAGGCACTGCAAAATCTTGTATTAGACAATCTCACAGTAACATATTGTGAGACCCAGGTGACTTTTGATGTGAATTTTTACCATTTGAGTGTTACTTTTGATGTGTGAACTTTTACATTGAAACTTTTCAATGGTTTTTTGTTGGTTGGAAAGTGGTCATCGTTTCCTGTTGTTTCAAATTGTCTGTTTTCAGATATCTGCAAATACATAACAGGACCAGCAATTAGTATTAATCCTTCTCTAGACAGGAAGGCTAGTTTGCACATAAAAAGACATAGATGCAGTTATACATGGGAAAACAGCAGTTCAAATATGTAGAATAAAAAAAAGACAAGGACTGTGTTTTTTCCCAGTATATTTGACATAAAGACGTTTCTGCTTAATTGGTTTTCAGCACATTATTAAACAATTGGCTTGTATGCAGAATTTTTGTTTCTGACGCGGAAAATCGTGTGATTCATGTGATCATATCACAAGAGGTCTAGAGATTACATTGCTGAGGAGACTATACCATGTAAATCAAATTTAAGGTGAATTTCTATCTTGTATTTATTATTTTTTTTAAAACATTTATTTTTATTTATATTTATGTTTTACAGAGTACATACTTCGTATATATGTATCTGTTTGACAGAAGAAGTGACTAAGTAGTCTCTTAAGATGACTGATCAAACTAATCTATTAATACTGTTTGACAGGACTAGAAATCTGGAAAATTCTAGTGTTAGAATTCCTATAGAATTTCTTAGAGTGCCTAAAGATGATATACTAATATAAAGTTTGGAAATTCAATTGAGGAATCTCTTAAAATATAAGTACTCTTCAATTATTCATGTTATGTGAAGGGAAGCCTTCTAGAATATTGCACAGCTGTTGGGAAATTCTGAGAGTATCAAAGAAGTATGTGGTGTAGTTTATAGATTAGCATAATATTCCCTCCATACCATATTTCTTTGCTCATTAGCTTCGATCAGCCTTACCAAGTTAATTGCACAGTTGCATTCGAATTTGAAGTCGCCTTTTCTCCTTCCAATCTTTTACTTAACCGTACTGTTTCTCTCACCGAAACTTTTTCTTGGATCTTCTATCTATCCACTATTCTTCCTCTGTGCCAAAGGCAAGTTCTTAAAACTACATGAGATAGAGGGAGTGTTAAAGTTCATTGATAGGATCGTTTAATGACGCATGTCGAATATATACTCAAAAGCTTTGATACACATCTGCTTTAAAGTATATCATTTGCTATTATAAACCATACAAGCGGGTACACGGTATTGGTTCCAGAACTACGTTCTGTATCTCAGACACGTAGTGATACCACTGATAATGATCGTAGTCTGATCAGTCACTACAAACTTTGATGAACATGTGCGACTTCATGGAAATACATGGATTATGGACCATATATTTCATTTGCATTATCTTTCAAAATCGTGGTATATATTCTTTGCTCGCCACTGGAAATACCCTGTATATATATAGCAGCTTTCAGGTGGCCCTATGGCATCACATTCTTCTCATTATTAGCTCTTGTAAACTAACAAGACAGGCTGCTGCATTGCTGCGAAAACATGGCAAGTCAATGGGGGAAGTTACGAAACCTTTTAAGATGTATGGCGAAATCGAAGAAGAAGAGTCGTCTGAGTGAAGATCAGCTGAGGAGAATTTTCAAGGCTCATGACAAGAATGGTGACGGCTGCCTTGATAAGGAAGAATTAAAGGAGGCATTTCGTGCACTTGGAGCTCGTGTTCCTGGTTACAGGGCTGATTACGCTATTCATTATACAGATATAGATTTGGATGGAGTTATCAATGAGAATGAGATCGACCACCTTGTTTCCTATGCTATCCAATTTGGTTATACGCTCGATTAGCTTTACTTTCACACCCCGTACATAGAGAGACATACCGAAATCAATGAAATAATTCCCTTCTACTACCATGATAAGAGATTAAACATGGTAAGCAATACTTTACAAGAGATTGTAAGAAGGTTGCTACTTTATTTCAGTCTTGTATTATCTCACATTAACAAATTGTGTAACCAGTGAATGTCTATGATTTTACTGTATTTTTTAGAGTTAACTTTAGACGAACCACAAACATTGGTGTGAGACTATCTTATCCAAGACTCGCACATTAGGTTCTTGGCTCCGGAATATATCATGTCATTTCTCTATGTATATTAAATTTATAATACAGTGCTATGGATGGCTATTTGAAAATTCTAATCTAATATATGGCTGGTTTGGTTGGCGAATCTAATCTATACCATTGTAAAAAGTTTGAAATATGCTTTAACATAATATCCATTTATCATATTCTTGAATCTAATTCTTTTTTGTAAATTTGAAGGACCATTACTCGTCATATATTTGGAATTTCGGATAAGTATGAAGAAATTACAATAGTGATATGAATATCGTGTTATTAGACAAATAAGAGTTGCAATTGGAATATGATTATAGTACTTTACTATCATAATTTATGAATCTCTTTAGGTGTCAACTACCAGAATAAAATCAATTAAAAAGTACAATCACATAACAAAAACACGACAACAATACAACTCGGACAATACACGAGCTTAACAACTACTCCGTAATATAGAAGATGTTTTCAAATCTAATCTTGCAACCAAAAAAAAAAATTGACAAGGATTGTTTTTCTTTTTCCTATAATATATCATTAAACATTCTATTATTGGTAGGCTTAGTGATCCCTTCCCCATAGTGGAGAACCAATACTACTGGTCCTAATTACCCTTATTATTCATCCTTTTTCTTTTGTCTATGAATAATTCAAACTCATTAACTTGATATACATTGACAAATACTCAAATGTACAACACCACTATACAAATGATACATTCTTTTAAAGAATAACATTTATCTTACACTCGGTGACTCGGGTGTATTTTTATTTTATTAAGGCTATTTTCTTGCTCAACCGTTTATTTTTGATAGAATATAAGACATATTCCTGACCCTCAACCATCAGTTTAAACTTTTGGTTGAATTAGTCCATTAACATGGTATCAAGAGCCAGTGTGACTAAAAAGTCACGGGTTTGAATCTCATCCACCCCTCATTTCAAAGTAGAATATTAAACTGGATATGGTGGGGCTCATGCTACATCCACACTTGGCATGATAAAGTATAAAACATATTTCTGGACCTCAGAAGCTTAAACTTTTGGTTGAATTGGTCCATTAACAATTTCAACCTCACAAATAAAAAAATAAAAAATGGGCATGTTACAACTTACAAGTGATAGCGGTCACATTAGTTGTTTCATTGACTAAAAGTGAGAATAATGACAGTTATTTGTTCTGTTAACAAGTCTATATCTTTTAAAATACAAAATCCAAAAAAAAAAAAAAACTGTAAAAACTACTCTTCTCCCGATTTTTTCGCCTTTCTTGCTCCTCCTATTTCCCTTCACGTTCTCATCAAATAAACAACATTTATTTAGGGGTAAAATAATCAACGACATTATAGCTGTAAATATTTTATTTTTGGTGGGGTTTTATCAATTTTTTACCCTGAAAAAAAAGTTGTACATTTTGGTTCTATATTTCATTTTCAACCAAAATTTTTTCACCTTATACATTTGTTTCAAGGAGCCAAGGAGGGTAACAAATATTAACTGCATTCGAATTTTCGCCATTTTTTTTTTTTTTTTTTTTTGTTGATTTCTGAATCTTTCATGTAAATTCTATAGGATAATTTCATTAGATAAGCATTGCATAATAAGATTTGGTTGAATTTATCAACTTGAAGTTAAAGTTTTGTCAATTTTTTTGTTTAAAAGGTCATGTTCTAAAATCCCATTTGAAAATGATTTTCATCTTTTAATCTTTCTAGGAATCTACCTGTATTTTCTAAACATTCAAACAGCTGTGCAATGTACTGGATTGATTGGATATTTGGATTCCCATCATATAAAATTACAGTTTTAAATTTTTTTTTCCTTTTGACATGTTCAATTTTTTCTTTGTAATGCTTCATTCTGGCAAAGAAAACAAAGTCAATATTTTTTTTGACATCTTCATTGTTTTGGCTTCAGAGTATGCTAAAAATAACAAAAACAATCAACCAAATAAAGGTCTAAGTTATCTCCAACAAGCTGATTACGACAACAAGGGAACCCGAGATTATGATCATCGTATGCTAAAGAGTTGAAAGAAGGAAGGTGCAAAGGGTGGAAAGATGGTGGCAGGTGGGGATCACGACCTGCAGCAATGGAATGCACAAGGGTCCGATGCTCGCCACGAAAAAATATTTGTATCAGTTAGATTAAGGCCTCTCAATGAAAAGGAAATTCAAAGCAATGACTTTGCGGATTGGGAGAGCATCAACAGCACAACCATTTTGTTCAAGAATGGCCTTGGTGAACGGTCTACGAATCCGAATGCCTATAATTTTGGTAAGCAAATCGCCTTAAACTCTGAAGTTTCTGCTATTAATATCTGCTAGACCTGTTATAAGCAGGATTTATGCATGTTTTGGTAAGTACATTGCCTTTCTTTTGCTGTTTTGTCGTGTATTGAATATCGAAAAGTAGCCAAGAAAGCAAAGCTATTAATTATGATGATGTACCTTCATGTTTAGAATGTTTAGATTGATTTTTTGAATGAAGTTTTTCCTTCTGTTTTTGTGCTATACATTGACAGACAGAGTATTTGGTCATAACGACTCTACAAGGAAAGTTTACGAGGAAGCAGCCAAAGAAATTGCTCTCTCTGTTCTCAATGGCATTAACTGTGAGTAATGTTCTAAAATCTGATACAATTTGGTTGTGTTTATGGTGCTTAATTTCCGTGTTATTGTTTCAAAGTAGGTTTACTTTTTTTCGATTTGTCTGATCTAGCTAGCGTCTTTGCTTATGGACAAACAAGCAGTGGGAAGACCTTCACAATGAACGGAATTACACATTATGCTGTAGCAGATATCTATGATTACATAGAACAGGTATGAGAAACTCCAAGTTTATAGCCGTGATATGAGAATTCAGCACATCACAGCTATGCATAACACTAAATTCTCCCTCTATCCCAAGATGCCCCCTTATAAGTCCCCAAGATTGCTGAATATACCACTCTGATATAATTAAAACATACAGGCAGAAATAAAAACATATTTGTGCATCTAAAATTTTAAGAACCAGTAATAGCCGGTCACTGAGACATTTTCTAACAAAATTATGTGTTTTTGGACAATGTAACAGCAAAAGGAGCGTGAATTTGTGTTGAAGTTCTCAGCCATTGAAATCTATAATGAACTTGTTAGGGACCTTCTAAGCACGGACACTAATCCTCTCCGACTTCTGGATGATCCTGAGGTTTGTATTAGATCAGTACTTTACAGACATATTTGAGATTTGTCATAAGAAATTAAACCACCTTAAATGTTCTGGTCGACTTTGGTTTAACAGAGAGGTACAGTTGTTGAGAAGTTAACCGAAGAAACTCTCCAAGATAAGAGCCATCTTCTAGAGCTCATTGCTGTATGTGAAGGTAGAGATGTGTGCAGAGTCAACAACAAATGTAGAGTGTTTAGTTGATGTCACAGAAACTAACTGATGTTTGGTTTTCATTACTCGTAGCTCAAAGACAGACGGGAGAGACTTCTCTGAATGAAGCCAGCTCTAGATCTCATCAAATCCTCAGACTGGTAAGCTCTTCAATTACATTAAAGAACTGAATTAGCTCAATCGCAAATGAAACTATTTTGGGCCATGATTTACTAATAACCTAATTGGAACTTTTGTAGACGATTGAAAGCTCTGCTCGTAGATTTGGTGGTGGAAATTCAAGTATTCTTGCCGCAAATGTGGTATGAAGTATTAGTTGATCTTTGCTCCTAACTCTATGTTTATAGTAGTATAAGGAATTGAAAAAGTAGTTGTTAACTTGACAATTTTGGCATGCAGAACTTTGTGGACCTTGCAGGAAGCGAGCGTACTTCTCAGACATTAGCAACTGGTGCAAGATTGAAAGAAGGTTCCCACATAAATCGAAGTTTGTTAACTCTTGGAAAAGTTATTCGCACATTAAGGTTTGTTTGTTAACCTCATTTAAGTCTTGGAAAAAATATTACAGTATTTATAAGAACGTGAAGTCTTAAGGCATTACTATAACTTGATTACAGCAAGGGAAAGAATGGGCACATTCCTTATCGAGACTCCAAGTTAACACGTATACTACAAAACTCTTTAGGAGGAAATGCAAGAACTGCCATTATATGTACCATGAGCCCTGCTCACAGTCATCTAGAACAATCAAGAAACACCCTCTTATTTGCAAGTTGTGCAAAAGAAGTTAGCACCAATGCACAGGTTAATGTGGTAATGTCTGACAAAGCATTGGTGAAGCAGCTAAGGAAAGAATTGGCCAAATTAGAGAGCGATTTGAAGAATATGCCCATGGTTTCTTCCAAGGGCGATGTTGCAGCTGCTCTGAGAGAGAAAGAAATTCAGATAGAAAAGGTGTAAACATATTTTCAATTGTATTTAAGTTGTGTTTATATGTCTGCATATGTTTATCTTATATTTGTAAAAATCTGGGTAACACAGATGGACAAAGAAATAAAAGAACTCAGTAGACAACGTGACCTTGCTCAAACAAAGGTGGAAGAGCTGCTACAGTCAAGCAAAAAGGAGGTTTCAAAACCACAGGATGATGAATATGACCATCATAGAATTGATTCACGGGATAAATTATCATGGTTTGACGATACATCAGAAATATCTGACGGATCAGATTACCGGCGTCTTGATGCAGACCTGGCAACTTCTGAATCCTTTCAGTATCTTGATCAACAGGACAATTTTGACCTTAGCACTCAACGGTCTGATCTTCTAGAAAACATTTACCTTCTGCCAAATGAATCCTCACTGCAACCACTGGACGACACCACACTAGATTTCACTCCTGTTGATCTGTCACTAAGCTGGGGGGAAATGGGCAGCACTGGCAACATCAGAAGAAGAATCGATGAAGACGATGAAGATAACTGCAAGGAGGTTCGTTGTATTGAAGTTGAAGAAAGAAGCATTAGCAAGAATTCTGAATCATCAGTTCCTGTAATGATTTCTCCTCGAGAGAAAGAAATTCAGGAAGAGGGTATCGTAAAAGATGTGCATGAAAGAGAGCATACGATATCAGATGATGAAATAGAGAGTGAAGAGGAGAAAGAAAATGAAAATGAAAAAGAAAGATTTAATGTCAAAGAAAAGAAGTATGCCATATCAGCTGGAAAGAATGAAGATAATGAGACACCACATTCTGCTGCTGAGTATGATGCACCAGTGACTGAAAAGAATGAAGAAAAGGAGTCGCATCACTGTGATTCTGAACACGATCAATTGGTAAAAAGGATCAAGGAACTCCAAAGGACTATTGACATGCTTGTTAACCACAATCCCTTGGGAAATTTCTCTCCTTGTTCCATCGACTCAGAGAGATTGAGCAACAAAGGGTCGAGCTTCAGCAGAAGCAGAAGCTGCAAGGCAATTCTTACATCAAACCCCGCCTCATCTATCATTTTCGATAAGGTAGTCCTCCATTCTAGGGACTTATCATTTGCTGGATTTGGTGAAGAGATAAGCTCGGAAAGACCAAAGGGCTTGCCTCGGGGATCAGATCACATTCCTACGGGTAATGGAAAGCCTTCGAGATTTGGCCTCCCTATACCTTCTATAAGGAATGCAATAATGAACGAAATGGAACGGGATGCTAAGAACTCAGATGTCAGTGATGCTTCCAGCTTTTACAGCTCTGCTGTAGAAACAAATGGAAATGCCGAACATGAGTCTGGCAAGCAAATGGGATATGAGATGGTCAGTAATTTAGTATGTCCTGTTTTGCATTGATTTTGGTTATGATTCACAGTAACATGGTAGGACATGAATTTCACACCCAAATTTTACAATTGCGAATTTCCATTTCCATGAATTAGTGAACCGAAGTTCTTTAAATACTGTCCCTTTTACCAATCTTTTTCAACTAGTCAGTGTTCAGGAATTGCATCATTTGCAAAATTATTGGTAGATGTAAAATATTCAAGTGGACAGATAAAAATGTAGGACATAAAAAAAGGGAGATATGAACACACAAGGGAATTGATATACTTGCTTTTTGCAGGATGGTAACAAAGTTGAGGAGGAAAACGAACCAAAGGACAGTGAATCTAGTGAAAGTGCAAGAGATGTTTCTTCATATGTGATGAGGGTAAGGGATTCCATGTCAGAAGGAGCGATGAGCACTGCACAATCCCCAGCAAACTGGTTCGAAGAATTTGAGAGTCTACGGTTCAAGATAATTGAACTTTGGCATGCTTGCCATATACCATTAGTCCACAGAACCTATTTTTACTTGCTGTTCAAGGGTGATACATCTGATAAGATTTACTTAGAGGTAGAACTCCGAAGGCTGTCTTTCATCAAAAACAGGTTTGATCAAGGCCAGAAGATTGTTGTGGATGGTGAAGTTTCTACACCATCTTCAAGGTATATCTTATAACTTGTACACTAGCAAGAATTACTAATGCCTTTTTTTAAGCCAAGACCATATTTTATATTTAGATATTTTACGAAATTATCTGCAAAACTCAAATTTTTTCGGTTGGTTATAATCTGTATTATGAGTATAGTTGAAATTTCCAGCTTTTGATCAGTTATGCATTGTGTACATTAGAATGCATCATTACCCTTAAAGCCTAATCTTGCTACTCTTTATTTCATAACACAGCATGAGGGCATTGAATCAAGAAAGGGAGATGTTAATGAGGCAAATGTACAAGAAAATTCCAGTACAAGAGAGGGAGTCAATCTTCGAGCAGTGGGGGATCACAATGAACAGCAAGCAGAGGAGACTGCAACTAGCTCGCCGCCTTTGGACAGACACCAAAGACATGCAACACATCAGAGAAAGTGCAACACTTGTGGCTAAGCTGGTTGGTTTCGTAGATGAAGGTCAAGTGCCTAAGGAGATGTTTGTTGGTCCAAGTATCACTACTAAAAGCATAAACCGAAGATCTTATAGCTGGAAATCAAGCATGTCGAGGGTATCCTAATGCTTTTGACATGTAAGTGTATAGATTATAATCTCACTCTTTTACAATAACAAACTTTGGTATTAATTACATTACTAATCTAATTTTTTTCCTTCTGATTGTTAAACTTTCGGGTGTTGGAAAACAGCAACTTTAACTTCTGACTTCTGTGTTTATTCCTCATAAGATATGTGTAATTGACTCATAAATAACTTATGGATTGCCTTACGCACTATCCCCCTCTATAATTTTGGGGTACCATGGTAATATTTTTTTTTTCCCCCGATATTTATAAATTGTTTCAATTCAAAAAATTAATTCTTATGTAGAATCTTTGAGAATTTTTCTTAAAATAATTTATTGATGGTCCTATAAGAGAGTGAGATAATACAATTTCCAAAGGCCTACATGAAAGGAGACAAGAGTTGATCACAAAATTTCAACCAAACAGTTGAACTTTATGGTGTTTGAAAAATCAAATTACTTTGCGTCACAACCAGAAGCAAATTTTACTATGAAAATGACCCAAGCTGGTTTAGCAACAAATTGACATAGCATCATCAAGTACTGCCAACAAAAATATACGTACAAAGACAACCAAAAGAGGAGAGATATTTACAGATAAACTGAAATTTAAGATTGGAGGACAGCACCTTCAGTGATCTTCCACCCAGAATCAGAATAAGACAGTTCATATCTTGTTGTGTAAGTTCTGCTGTAAGAATCATTGTGCTCAGGTTGGGTAGCATCAGTTAAATTCGCCGTCTCTTCAAGAGTAGCTTCTACTGTTGCCCGTTTACCATCAAGGGATACTGTCACACTATCGATAATCACATTCAATAGGGAGTATTCCCAAAACCAACCACGCTCTGCAACTTCCTTTGCACGATCAGACCAAATTTTAAGCATGTTGCCATCCAAAACCTGATAGTTGTTCCTTAGTGTTAGTAGTTAGAGAATAATTACTAAATGATTCTAATAGTGTTATCCACAAAAACAAGGGAAGGCTTAGACTAACCTCTGGCAACGTCTCAAGGCTATGATTTGGTCCCAAAGCCTGCGATTTAACACTCTGCCATCTTCTCACCAGAACCTCTGCAAGTCTTGCATCCATTTTTGGTATTTTCTTTTCACTATTTTCATTCATTGCGAGGCCTGCAAATATTTTAATGAATTGTAATTACAGAATAAGCATATATGCGCAACCTGATGCTGGGACTATATAATTAATAGACATTGCAGTCCACATTTATCACAATTCAGAGTAATAGCCTATAGATCTGACATGTAATTTTGTCATTTGACAAACATGAGTAGGACATTAATTCTGTGATGATGCACTCATAATAGAATGGATGGAGTATATTAAAGCCTTAAAGGTACTCAAATGAGGTGAAGAATAGAGGTTTTTTAAAAGGTCATACCCACATTGGACACATCAGAAGTCACAGATGAAGTTACTGAGCCAACATGCTTGGGCAGAATAGCAGAACCAGTTTTAGCAGGCCAGAGTTTCATGCCAGCCAAAGTCGTCAACCCAATCACCACACCAGCACACATAACCTTCACACCTACATCTTTTATCTTCTCAGTAATCAATTCTTGTTCATGATATTCTTCAGCAAGATGTTTACTGGCCAACTCAGCGTAATTTGAAGTATTATCAAAACCAAGCCCCACCTCCGCCAATGCATCCTCATATCCAAAGCCATTAACCGCAACATCCTCTTGTCGGGTTATGTGTTCTTCTCCAGAACTAGGAGGAAACACCTTCTGCAATGCCTGTATGACACTAGTGGTAACGTTACCGATTACTGCACTAGCTCCAGCTCCTATCTTCACTATTGCTGCAGCAGCAGCTAATGAGGAGCCACTCCCTCCTTCCAGCCGCTCTAAATACCTCAGAACAATAGGATCATCATAATAATCCCCCAGTCTGAATTGCACATCTTTTGTCTCCCTAAATCTGGTGAAAACCACCTCCATGAGCCAGGTTTCCAATAGTTTACAGAGTCCTGGGAGCATATCACTATCCTCATCATTCCTTGAATTTTCCAGCACAAATTCCACAACTGATGGATCTCTAAAGGGCGAGTTTTCAATGTCCAGACCCAACCATGTCCGACACTGATCAAGGTCTCCAACCAACAGAGAACAAAGACCCCTCTCCAATGCAAAATCTTTCTCACGATTTTCTTGAGTAGCATATAAAGGAATGGAATCTCCTATGGGCACCAACTTGGTTTGCTGAAGTTGACGAAACAAGTCATCAGCATCTTGAATGAGATGAGGCTTCTTGCTAATGAAAGCTTGAGCAACAAGTGCAAGAGCTACTCCATAAGCTTCAAAGCTTTCAGCTGGAATATTTTTTGGCGTGGCAGTGAAAAGATCAACCTGAGACAAAAGAAAGCAAATAAATTTATTTCTAAATTGGAATGAGGAGGAGAGGGGGCATCCTCCTAATTTCAGGAAAAGATTCCATGCAAGGGTGTCGAGTGGTGGGGAGTCCTGACTTCAGAGAGGGAATGATGTGTGCGCAGCCCTTATTCTCAAAACCAAAATTTCTTCTATCCAAGTAATGTCCAACAGTATTCAACTGTATTTTTCTGAAACTATTAAAATGTATCTGAGGTTTTGCTAAACTTGTAGGGGTAAAGGAGGGGGTGAAAGGTAACCTATGAAAGTCAAAAATATGGACTTGACCAATGAAGAGCTGTTGCAACCAGTCCAATAGCTAATTGACCTTCTTGCAAACAATTGGATTTCTTGCATTTTAGAGCATCGGCCACTATTTCAACTTGGTTCCAACATGGAACTTGATTTTACCTAACTCTCTTCCTCAATTATACTATAAAATCAAAAGGTTGGACCAATCAAAAGGTGTTCGAACCTCCTTGTCCATATTTGAGGTTGAGGTGATGGAGTAGTGGCATCGCTCCCACCTTGTATCCCTGAGGTCTAGGGATCACACCTCATGGGACTCATTTGAGGGATTTTCCTTATCTCCCCCCTCAAATGAGCCCCCTTCTTAAATCACCTGCCCTTGTGGCTCTCTAAACACCAAAAAAAAAAAAAAAAAAAAAAAAAAAAAAAAAAAAACCAAGCTGATTGGCCTTCTACATTCTTGCTGTGAAGGTCTAGTGAACATTATTCGCATATAAACCATTCTCCTATCTCTTTATTACTTGCACTTCCAAAATAAGCACCAAGGAAAAATATAGAAAGAAAAATTACAATTTACAATATGAAAGCCATGATTTACACAATACATAGTGAAAAACAGGCAAATGCTGAACTTACCTGCTCAGCTGCTGTCATATGCAAAAAGGCTTCATTCATGAAATCCTCACGAGTGAAACCTCCAGCTATAGCTGCAGCACCACCTCCTCCAACAGACCATAAAATATTGCGCACACCGTGCAGACCTTCATCTCTTTTCTTCCGAAATTCATCAGTGAGAGGCAAAGCCAAGAGCTCCAAAACATAACGAGGTTTAAGCTCCTCCAATGTCTCATCAATCTGTGCTTGTAAATCTGGTGCAAGACTACTTGAACCTTCCTCCTACACAACAAGAATATCAGAGTTCCAAGGTAGGGCCTCCAAGTTTTGGCGTATTTATAATTAAACACACAATCCAATCCAAAATTTAGTGGCCCAATGCTTTATTATTACCCAAAGTCAGGTTATAAGTGGAGAAATGAATAACACTCAGATTTACTCTATCTTAGGAAAAGATTATGATTGATAATCCCAATCCTAGAATTAGCTTTTCATTCTTAGTGACTTCCTCAAGCCGCCTCATTATGCATTCACTACAAATATAATCAAATGGAATATGGGATTTTTGGAGTCTTAAAAAGAATATTTAATTCTCTTACATCATAGCCAACTAATTACTGAGTCTGTTACCTGTAAGAGTTTTAGAGCACGTTCCAGGGCCTCACAGCCATAGACATAATCAGGAGGAGACAATGACATTGCATCCCTTGAGAAGTCAACAAAAGCAAGGGCCATTGCTAACACAATATCATGCTTGAAGGGTTTGGATAGTCTCTCTTTCAGCAACACATCTCCAATTCTAAGGACTAGTTCGGACTCCCCGGCCTCTTGCAGAATACACAGTGCACCAGGAACCTAAAGCACCAAAACCCACAAATCAAATGAGATAATCACACATGTAGTGCCCTTTAATATGAAAATTCTTTCAACATGTGGTAACATATACATTTTCCATTATCGATTCCCAATATACTGAGAAATGCCAATGAGTTTACAAAAGCCAATGTGTTTTTGAGGAATTTTCATTAAATTTCATCTTCAAGCTACCCAAGACCATGTGTAATATGATATCCTTTCCCCAAATATAGTGTTGCCCACATATCAACACTTCTAACTACATTTCTACATAGTCGAAACCTAATGAAGCTCGTGACATAGATAGCACAGTACTACCAATTAACTGTCCATTTCAATAAGCAAAAGAACAACCAAAAATTTACAAAATTTAAAATGAGGGCACATATATAAAAAAAATAAAAACTTGCCTTGTCGAAAGGGACATCAAAGAGGGTAGTCTCTTCAAATGAATCAGAAAGGCCTGAATTATATTCTCTTCTAGCACTGGGGTTAGAAAGAGTGTCACAAGCAGCTTGAAGGATTTGTCTTCGGGCAATAAGAGTATCTTGGGTGAACCCATATTGCGGGGGCTTCGAAACCTTTCCCTCATAAGCTCTCCTTATCCCATCTCCCAGAAAATGGGTTTCCGCTCCCAACACCTGAAAGGAAAGAAGGATGATAAAGTTCAAATGTACAAAATTTGAAGTTGGGCATTCTGAATTTCAGCTCAAAATTAAGAATTCCACTCTAAAAATGTGTCAAAAATTAAAAAAAAAAAAGTGCAAATTGCAGAGCTAAATCTGTCATATTCAATTCAAAAATAAGAACAATACAATAATTAGTTAAGCACATTTTCAATTAAAAATTAAATATTTCAACCAAAATAATCAGTAAAAAAAAAGTGGGTATTCTGAATTCCAACCCAAAAACAAAAATTGCAAATGTGGGTAATCTCAATTCAATCTCAAATTTCTTTAATTTTCAACTCAAAACTAGTAATCACAAAGGTAGATTATCACAATTTCAACCCAAAACTAAGAATCACAAAGTTAGGCAAATCACATTATCAACTCAAAATCAAAAATTACAAAGCTGGGTAAATCTCATGATAACCCCAAAATCATAAATCCACACAATATGGGTAATCACAATTTCAACTCAAAATCACAAAATCATCAATAAAAAACCTGGGTATACATTCATTCATAATACAAACACAAAGATGAGAATCTTATACAATACCTGATAAAAATTAAGGGGAATGGAGATATTGCGGTCAGGAGGAGAGAGAGAAGGAGGAATAGAAGTTGGGGTAGAAGAAGAAGATGAAGTGGAAGTATCAGAAATTGAAGTGGGCAAGAATTGAAAGTCGGAGAGTAAGCGGTCAGCCCATTTACTGCCGGGAAATGACGTCGATGCGCCGGAGTTTGTGGCGGCGCTTGCGGCGGTGACGGTGGTGGAGCGGTGAAGGAAGTCTTTTCTTGAAGAAGAAGAAGAAGAAGAAGAAGAGGAGAGAGGTGGTCGGAGAGTGGGGTAGCAGAGATTGTAGCCCAAATGAGTGAGGGCTTCCATTGTTGTTTGTTTGCTGAATTGTGATTGTAAAGATTGTAGTGTATTTAAATGTGTGTTTTTTTGTTTGTTAAACCCTCTCAAAAATCTTTTCTTTAAAACTCCACAATTCTCTAGATATGAGTTTCTTTTTTGAAGAGGCTTGTTTGGTATAGTTAATGGTAGTGGGTAAAATTTTGTGGTTGAATAGCGAGTATCTATCAGAGTAGCGCGTAATTGTCAACTGTTATAGAGTACAAGGTTAGTTGTCAAATTATTGGTTGATAGTATTAGTGCTCAACAAAAGTTAGTTGTTAGAATATTGAAATACTTTTTTTAAAAAAAATATACTCCCTCCGTTAATTTTTATTTGCAACTTTGGAGAACTTTACGGTTGACGAGGCAAAATTTGATAATGGTGATTAATGTATTATAGGGGTATGTAATTAAGGTGGAGAGACAATGTTTGGATAATTAATTAACCACCCACTGTCACCACCAAGACCGGCCAACACCACCACCACCGCAACAAACCCCACGAAAGCACCACCACCCTCACGAAATCACCACCGTACCACCCACAAAAACCCAGGCCACCACCTCCAAACAACCCCACGAAATCCAAAACCCACCCACCAGAACCCAAATCTACGACTACCCACCAAAACCCAAATCCACGACCACCCACCAAACAAATCCACGACCACCCACCAAAACCCATCAACGGAACCACGAAAACCAACCCACCAGAAACTAAACCCCCAACTCGAACCCAAAACCACGACCCACACCGCCTTCACCACCACCACCTCCAAACAACCCCACGAAATCGACCTCTACGAAACCCACCACCACCTCAAACAACCCCCGTACCAGCCACAAAAACCCAGGCCACGATCTCCAAACAACCCCACGAAATTGACCTCTACGAAACCCACCACCACCTCCAAACAACCCCCGTACCACCCACTAAAACCCAGGCCACCACCTCCAAATAATTCCCACGAAATTGACCTCTACGAAACCCACCACCACCCCCACGAAATCACCACTGTACCACCCACAAAAACCCAGGCCACCACCTCCAAACAACGCCATGAATTCAACCTCTACGAAACCCACCACCACCCCCACGAAATCCACGCCCACAAACTCCCAAAAATCCAGCGAAATTGTTGAAGTTGAAGAGAGAGAAAGAAGATTTGTAAAAAAATCAAAGGGATAATGAGATTGAAAGAGGAGAGAGAAAATATGGGGGAAGATGAAGATGAATGAAGATGGTTTTGGGTTTCTTGAATTGAAGATGAAGAGTTGATGAATTAGATTAGGTTGGTTGGGGTGAAAATTGGGTGAGAATTAGTGATTAATAAAATCTGATTATAGTTAGTAAATTGTGTTTTAATTTTTTAAATGAGGGTAAAATTGACATTTGACTAGTTTTTTTTTTACTAAAAGAGGAAAGAAAATAGAAAGTTGCAAATAATTTTTAGCAGACTAAAATGGCAAAAGTTGCAAATAAAAATTAACGGAAGGAGTATATATATATATAAAGAGCTAAAATTGGAAAAAAAAAAATACAAATTACAATAATTTGTGCGTGATTTTGTCATAAATTAATTAATAACAAATAAGGAAAGATATTAAATGCTTAATTATTCTTAGCCCTAAGGGTTACATATAGCATTACCCTTAAAAAATCAATAAAAAAAAAAAACCATATACGGACTATAATTTTTATTATCAAACATTACTTTTAAACGTTAATACATTTAACGTTTGAAAAACGCTACCTCTACCACTATTCACTACCTAAATAATTGCATTGTCGTACACTAACTTTTGCCTAAAACGCTATCATCATATATGGCCTAATTTTCGAAGATTTAGAGCAAATCAAAGAGCCGGGTTGGTCCAAGTTTTTAGGCTTTTTTTAGGGTTGGATGCTTGCCTGTTTATTCGGCATAGTTCGATATTTAAACAAAAGGAAAGTTAACTTGAAATTTAAGGGTTTAGGTCTATTGCAAGAGATATATTTGCTACCTTAAAAAGCCAAATAGATTATTCTACCATAACAAGTCCATAATTTCTTTCATATTTAGATTATGACTAACCTAGTAACGAAGTCTTGGAAGCTTTTTGAAAAGAGAGAGAGAGAGAGAGAGAGAGAGAGAGAGAGAGAGAAAAAAAAAAAAAAAAGGGTAGTAACAAGCTTCACTCTTGAATGCAAAATCTGTTTAAGCATTGGAAGTTATCTTCTTGCATGATATACGTACAAACTATGAATTTACACAAGCTTACTATTTTAATAAGAATTCAAATTTATGCAAATTACTTTGTAGTGTGCTTCATTTATTATTAATATCAAATTGAATACACTTTTGCAAAAAAAACATGTTGTCAACTAATAACATTGCGAATCATAGTTAAAGAGAGAGGTAGAGTACACATTTTGTCATGCTAACTGCTAAGTTACTAATTTAATACGGAGTAGTAGTTTGTGAAAATATTGATTTGATCAAATTTGGAAATATACTGTATACTAAATAGTATAAATATTTCACATAACAATACGAAAAGTCTATAACATTGTTGAAATTCTAAATAAAAGTCTGTAGCATTCTTGCAAATCAAATATGACTTACATTCACAAATAACTCTCAACTTCACTTAACTTTAAATACACCAAACTTAAAAATCTATTAGTCATAACAAAGTTTTTCGACTATTTATTTGTAAGTCTTAAATGGGTACATATTTATTATTATAAAGTTTTTAATATACTTCTCATGCTATTGAATCTGACGATGATACTTAGTAGAGCATGCACAAAAGTCATCATTTCTGCAACAAGAATTAAAAATGACATGTGTTAGAAATAATTGATTTTAATTAGATCAAATAATAAGACAAAATAGACGTATAAATAATAAAGGGTGAGGATTATACTTCAAAGCATATTAGTTACACTTGAATTCGAAGGGCTCCGCGGCAGTTTGAGATATCATCAATTGTTGCTCATCTAATTCTTTCTGTGATACAAGAAAAGTACAAACAAGTATGGAGTAACACGTTACATATATTTCCTAAAAAAAAAAGTTACATATATAATGGTCATTCAGTTACAAATATATATGTAGGTCAAATCATTTACTAAACTTCAATCCATAGTCATTTATAAATACATGGCATTTTAAAATTTTGAAATTAGTAATGGTTGATGAGTTTACAATAAACTAGCCTTTTGGCCCATGCAATGCACGGATTATTTACAGAAAATTGCATTGAAAGATGAGTGACGAAATTGTTTCGGGGTTTTCTGATGTCCTGCGGGAGAGTTACAATTCCGAGACTGGAACCGGACGCCTGTACCTGCAAAATAACGGAGACTCCTGAGAGCTCCGCCTCCAACGGTCAAGTTAGTACCTGATTAAGGAGTAATTAATACAGAAATTAAAGTAATAAGGTCTCTCTAGGTGAGAGTATTTAATGTAGGTAATCTGCTTTGCTAGCGAGATCAGCCGGTTATTAGTGTGTTCCGTAATGTATTCGGTCCCCTGATTAATGAGGATTAATCGAGTATTTATAGCCTTGGGAAGCGTGCAACTCTCTAGGTTTAAGGTAAACCTAGGGCCGAACGGGCTTCTAGACTGAAATGGGCCTTGATGGCCGGTTGTCCCATTTGGCATGGGTGGACACGTGGCGTGTCTTAAGTGGTCCGTGGAGGACGCGTGGCGGAACCTGGTTGGTCCACTTGTCAAACGGTGCTTGGTGGATAAAAATCCCCTAATCATTTGCCCCTCACAGGTGGCACGCGACTGATCACGTGTCGCCTGTGACAGGCGTCGCACGGTGACAGGCGACGGCCCGTTACAGGTGTCACCTTGCAGACGGCCGGGAGATTCTCCCGCCCAAATTTGAATTCGGAAGCGACCCTTCGCCTTCTCATTTTGCCTATAAAAGGAAGTGCTGACTTCGGTCATTTTTCACATTTGAGAATTTTTGCGAGAACATTCGGACCCCTGAACTTGCTCTGACATTTTCGGACTTTTTCTGCCTACCGCCTGTTCTGACAAGCCGACTGACCCGAACTTTCAGGACTTCATCAACTGTCATCCGTTCAGGTAACTCAGTTCTCTTACTCTTAATTTTCTTTTTATTTTTTGAAATGGCACCATGGAAGCACACGACACGCCCTAAGTTAGTGATCAGCCGGTCACCGGGGACGGCTGAATCTAGGACTAGGAGTGCCGCCTGCCCTTTTCTGGACCCATCTTTGCCCTTTATACAAAGTCCGACTGAATCTGTGTCTATGCAGAACGTGATGGCCAGAACAAAAAAGACTGCTAGAATATCAAACTCAGACGGCTCCTCCCAAAGGGTACTCCTTAGCGAAACATCTGACCAGGCGCCAGATGTGGAACGAGGCGACTGTCAAGCTGACAGTTCTGAGAGAGGGACCAAGGTGTTCCCTTCTCATCTAACCGTGGACATGTCCAATTTACCTTCTGCTCCTTCTAAGGGAGAGGAGGCGGGCCCCTCTAGGAGAGGGGAGGAGTCGTCCTCTTCGGACTCGTCAGGGGACGAGTCCGATTCCAGCTCTTCTGACCATAGTTCTTCTGACTCAGAAGAAAAACATAACCGCCTACAAGAGGCGAGAAGTTTCCCATGCAGTGGAGAAGGGGGATAATTGGGCAGAGCCGTCCGCCTCTTACAGAGAGGAAA